ATGGTTGAAGTGCCGAATAAATAGGGACGTAAAGTTGGGCTCGAAATTATAAAAAAAAACTCAAAGAGAATGAACAATTGACAGGTTTCCTAAACGCTTTAATACAGTATGTGTCGGAGAGATGCAACAGTCAGAACACCTGCTACTGTAAATGCCTATCGGGCAGTAGTCACTGAAGGCCGCATCGCAATACAAAGAAACTATTTTACTTTATATATATTTTTACCAGGTAAGGCCCACTGAGCTATACAGCTCTTTTTCAGAAGCGACCTGGCCGCAATGATAGCTCAACGAAGTGGCTTATCATGTGGACATTACTAGCAGCCAATTACTCTCAACGCGTGTTCATTCTAAATGTGGAGGGAAAACCCGAAAGACCCGAAGAAAATCCACGCGACCACGGGGAGAGACGCGCAAACTCAATATATACAGTGAGGGAAAAAAGTATTTGATCCTAATGGTAGGTTTATTTGAACAGTGAGAGACAGAATACTAACAAAAAAATCCAGAAAAACGCATGTCAAAAATGTTATAAATTTATTTGCATTTTAATGAGGGAAATAAGTATTTGACCCCTCTGCAAAACATGACTTAGTACTTGGTGGCAAAACCCTTGTTGGCAATCACAGAGGTCAGACGTTTCTTGTAGTTGGCCACCAGGTTTGCACACATCTCAGGAGGGATTTTGTCCCACTCCTCTTTGCAGATCTTCTCCAAGTCATTAAGGTTTCGAGGCTGACGTTTGGCAACTCGAACCATTAGCTCCCTCCACAGATTTTCTATGGGATTAAGGTCTGGAGACTGGCTAGGCCACTCCAGGACCTTAATGTGCTTCTTCTTGAGCCACTGCCTTTGTTGCCTTGGCCGTGTGTTTTGGCTCATTGTCATGCTGGAATACCCATCCACGACCCATTTTCAATGCCCTGGCTGAGGGAAGGAGGTTCTCAATCAAGATTTGACGGTACATGGCCCCGTCCATCGTCCCTTTGATGCGGTGAAGTTGTCCTGTTCACTTAGCAGAAAAACACCCCAAAAGCATAATGTTTCCACCTCCATGTTTGACGGTGGGGATGGTGTTCTTGGGGTCATAGGCAGCATTCCTCCTCCTCCAAACACGGCGAGTTGAGTTGATGCCAAAGAGCTCCATTTTGGTCTCATCTGACCACAACACTTTCACCCAGTTGTCCTCTGAATCATTCAGATGTTCATTGGCAAACTTCAGACGGGTATGTATATGTGCTTTCTTGAGCAGGGGGACCTTGCCGGCGCTGCAGGATTCAGTCCTTCACGGTGTAGTGTGTTACCAATTATTTTCTTCGTGACTATGGTCCCAGCTGCCTTGAGATCATTGACAAGATCCTCCCGTGTAGTTCTGGGCTGATTCCTCACCGTTCTCATGATCATTGCAACTCCACGAGGTGAGATCTTGCATGGAGCCCCAGGCCGATGGAGATTGACAGTTCTTTTGTGTTTCTTCCATTTGCGAATAATCGCACCAACTTTTGTCACCTTCTCACCAAGCTGCTTGGCAATGGTCTTGTAGCCCATTCCAGCCTTGTGTAGGTCTACAATCTTGTCCCTGACATCCCTGGAGAGTTCTTGGCCATGGTGGAGAGTTTGGAATCTGATTGATTGATTGCTTCTGTGGACAGGTGTCTTTTATATAGGTAACAAGCTGAAATTAGGAGCACTCCATTTAAGAGTGTGCTGCTAATCTCAGCTCGTTACCTGTATAAAAGACACCTGGGAGCCAGAAATCTTTCTGATTGAGAGGGGGTCAAATACTTATTTCCCTCATTAAAATGCAAATCAATTTATAACATTTTTGACATGCGTTTTTCTGGATTTTGTTGTTGTTATTCTGTCTCTCACTGTTCAAATAAACCTACCATTAAAATTATAGACTGATCATTTCTTTATCAGTGGGCAAACGTACAAAATCAGCAGGGGATCAAATACTTTTTCCCTCACTGTACAGGCGTCAGGGTCTGGATCGAACCCACGACCTCCTGTATACCAAGCGAGGTAGTTAACATCTCCCAGCCACCGTGGCAGTGGAGGGGCCAAAGAAAGCAGAATGGATGAGACGCTTTCGTAAAACAGAAAGAAAAAAAACCCTCCCCACGTGATAATGGAAAGCAATTTATCTGGGCTCACACGTTCCATGTTTATTATACGCACAGTCACTCCTCTGTAAGATACGGTGCCGTCGCTTTCAAAAATGCGCATTGAGTCACCCGAGAGAAGAAGGCGGCCCATTAAGTAATCCGTTGTGCTGGAGGGGGTTGATGCCAACGAACGGATCACTCCCCCCGTACGGGACGCCCGAAACAGGAAAGAGGGTGGGGGTATTTTCCGGAACTCGGCCCTCGGCAGCTCCGGCTGAAACGAAGTCCTTGTCGAAACGATTACTTATATAGTCGTGATTACTTTGGGCCCTTGGTGGTGAGTTTTTTTGTTTAAAAGGCGGGGAGGGAGGTATGGATGGCTGCTTTAGCCACCCAGATCGGTCACTGATGATAATAATGCTATATGTATACACAGGGGAGAGCGGTGGCGCAGTTGTTAGCGCACTGCTCTCTGAACACCGTTGACCCAAATTCGATTTCCGGCCACGGCTAACATCAGTGGCAAGTGCGATACGAACCGGGTTCTGCTATGCTATACTCCACCCCAACCTCCTGCTCCCCACCCCCCCTCCTCTTAGACCACTGTCATCGACGAGCGACCGTGGTGAAGTATGGTCAAACAAACTCTCACGTATGCATGTCGGACTTCTTTCACACCGCACGCAGCCGACCGTGCCAATCGGAGGTGCGGGCGAACGACAACGTCGCTGGGAGGAGGCCTTCATCCAGCGCAAAGGACTGTCAAATAGTATCATTCATTACCGATAACACGTAATGCACGTGCGACATACACCGGACACAATGTGTATGTCACGCGTGACATGTCTCCATGCAGTGTGACAGAGACGTGCACCATAAATATATACGGCGAGCACATGTTTAATGCATGCTCACGGTGCGACGTCGAACACTGTTTATGGTTTGTGGAGAGGCTTAGTAATGGGTGGGTGCAGGGTGGATGAATGGCAGGGATCCATGGATGTAGAGGGGATGACGCAAAGGCATGGACGATATGATGGGTGGGAAGCACACGGGAAGGAATGATGGAAAGGGATGGTTGGATGAATGAATGGCAGGGGGTTCGTGGATGAACAGGAAGGGATGGTTGGCAGAAAACAATGCATATATTGATGGGATGGAGATGGGGTAATGCGGAGGGGAGGGTGCCGTGGAGTGGGCTAGAGCGAGAGGCTGCCCTGGGAATTGGGGAACAGGGGGAGGCATGGAGGCTGGGTGTGGGTGTGCCTCAACCCTAAATGAGTAACTGGTGAGGTGCGTGAAATTATCGCTACTAGAGGTACAAAGGCGGTCGGGGGTGGTGATGGCCACCTACCCCTTCGTGTGCCGTGCCGGCCTTCATAGGTGTTCGCACAGCAACTTACCCCATGAGTCTGTTCAGGCAATACGGGGGATCCTTGTCATTGTGTATGGGGAGCGGTAGTGTAGCGGTTAACCGCGCTGCGCTCCGAAACCGACCACCCGAGTTCGATCCCGCTCACGGTCAACGCCAGTGACGTTTATCTGAATCATGCCTGAGCCTCCCCTAGGTCGACTCGGCCTCAAATGAGTACCCGGTGCGAAGTGTAAAAATCTCCACGAGGGAGACAAAGGTGGCCGGGCGTGGTGCCGGCCACCCACACCCTCGAGTGCCTTCATAGTTGCTCGCTAACAGCACTTGCTCTAAACGTATGTTAAGGCTATACGGGGGAGCTGTGTCTTTGTGATGGGTGCGGTGAGGAGGAGGGGGGGGTCGCGTAGCTGTTGGCGATGGGGGGAGAGCACCGCCTTTGTGTGCGCGCGCTCGCTGCAGCTTCACAGACCCCAGACACCCCCCACACAGACACACACAGACACACGTGGAGTGTAGCCGTGCTGCAGGAGCAGCAGGAGCCCCCCCCCACCTCCAACGCCATCGTTGTCATCATCGGCCCCCTCCACCATCGTTGTTGTCTCTGCGCGCCCCTGCCACCACCACCGCCGCCGCCGCTGCTGCCGTGGAGGAGGAGGAGGAGCGGAACCCCCAGGTCCGCTCCGTGACGGCGCGCCGTGTGAGGCGCAGGGTACCCCACAGTGCGCACACCGGGCTCTAGCGGGCTCGACCTAGACACAGGGACGCACGCCAGGCACTCCCAGGCACTGTCAAGGTGTACGCCGAGACGCGCCAGTCATTGCCAGGCACTCACGAGACACGAGGTTCCAAACACAAGGATGCACGTTCCGAACTGCCTGGTATTAATGAGGCACTGCCGGGGACTGATTGCCAGACGCTACCATACACTTCCAGAGACTACCACACTCTACCAGAGGTTACTCTACGCTACAGTACACGTCGAGTGACTTACCAGACTCTCCCAGAGACTACCAGACATTACCATCCACACAATGTCATACACTACGAGAGACTACCATAGACTACCGGACACTACCATATACAACTTAGCACAGCAGGCGTGACGTGGGCGTACAACCAGCCACTATCACACACGCGCGCGTGCCCACTAAGAGCTAGCACCGGGCACGAGCAGGCACTGACTCGGGCACGCACAGCGGCACGAGCAGACAGGAGGGACCGCACAGCGGGACCGGGAGCTGCCTGTGGAGCGTGGGGCCCGTAGGAGGATGCGGAGGACAGCGACTCACTCGGTGCCTCTGTCTCGCTCTCTCCGTGCCCGTCTTTATCTCTCCCTCTCCATCCTCTACTCGTTAACTCGCAGTGTGGAGTGGGGTGTAGAGAGAGAGTGAGTGGTTAAGAGAGAGAGAGGAGGTTCGTGGAATTGTGGTGGTGGACGTGAAGAAGGAGGTTGGGTAGGTGGTGGTGGGTAGTGGTGGAGGTTCAAGGAGGTGGTTTGGGTGGTGGTGGTGTTGACAGTGGATTACGGAGGAGTATCTGGTGGTGGTGGAGGTAGTGGTAGTGAAGGAGGAGGTGTTACTGGTGGAGAACCTTGTGGTTGTTGGTGGTGGTGAAAGTGGCAGTGGAGGTGGTGACAGAGGTTAAGGAGACGTTTCAATAGGTGGTGGTTGAGGAGGTGGCGTAGCTGGTGGTGGAGGAGAGGTTGGGGTAGGTGGTGGTGTTGCAAGCGGTGGCGTGGGTGGTGGCAGTGTATGGGGAATTGCAATCGGTGGAGTTAGTGGAGTGGAAGGAGGCGTTGCAGTGGGTGATACGAGTAGTGGTTGTAGTGGTGGCAGTACTCAAGTAGACATTTCAGTCGGTGGTGGAGGAAGTGGCGGTGAAGGCGTGGTTGCAGTAAGCGGTGGACTTAAGCCAGCCCTCTCAATGGAGCTCAAGGGGATGGACGCCGATCAGGAATTGTTCACGGACAAAAGCAGTGGAGCGGGAGGAGGAAGCGGTGAAGCGGGCGGTGGAACAGGTGGAGGAAGAGGAGCAGGTGGTGGTGGTGGACACGAAGCTGCTGGCGCAGGAGACGCGGCCACCGGAGGTGTCGTCATCCGGGTGAAGGAGAAGAAGGGTCCTCTCCGCGCCGCCATCCCGCGGATGCCCATGCTCGCGGCTGTGCTCTGCCTCCTCTGCAACATGGTCATACCTGGTTCAGGTGCGCTCGCCTCCTCGATCCACTCGTTAACGCTGAATCGACGCTCATATTTGCGCATCCGACTGGCGCACTCTGGGTCGACTTGGCATCAATGCCATCTTCCCTCTCGGAGTTGGGCATCAACGAGCAGCGACTTTGTACAAAGCGGCCGTAGTTCTATGACGATGAGACTGGTCTCTGCCATGGGCATGTGGAATGTCCACCGATGGGTTAGGACATTTCAACCGACACAGGGGGGGGGGGTCTCCCTTGAATGGGGCTTAGGCTGTTGACATGCTCTTCGTTAATATTGTACAACCCTTGTCAATCCACAGCTCATACTTTACCACGCTGGTCAGAACGGCTTGGTGATTGGCGAGGCAGAGGGAAGGTATGGCAGGATTAGTTAAGATGTCACTCAACACTGGTGTATACACATTAGCCATGGCTGGCAATAAAACTTAGGTGGGCAGGTTCATAGCGCATCTGAGATCTTGTTATTGAATGGGTTGTACCGTAACCGAGTTGAGATTTGGGTTCGTGGTGGGCAGGCGGGGCCTTGAGTTTCTGCCTACTTGCAGCGTCACTGCTCTAACACTGACAACCCAATTGTGGGTTTGTTCCCTCTGCATTTGCCAGTTTAGCGACTGTAAAACATAGGTTGGTCGAATGCCAAGTCATGCTATTTATTTACACAGCAAAGCCTCGCTGAGTCTCGAGGCCCTTTTTTTGTCGAGGAGGATCCTGCATCGGAATGTTTGGCCAAGTTCCATTACTCGGGAGTGCTTTTTTGGCTTCAAGAGGGAGAAACCTCGAGGACAGTATTCAGAAGGGGAAACCAAAAAAAAACCTCACCCCCACTTACGACAGGGCAGCAATCAAAGTTCCACACAGATGGATTCAACAGTTCTAGAATGGCCAGAACAGTGGTGGGGCGTGGGGGGTGATCAAGTAACCGGTTGCTGCTCATAAAATGGATCGGAGCATCTGTTTAGCATTAAACGAAAATATGTTTAGGACGATTTAGAGAATCCACAGCACACAGCGCGCGGTGACCGGCGTTGACAACACGATCCGGGTTGGCTCTGCTGAAATCGTTGCCCATCACGGGTTCTCGGTTCGCCGCGTGTCAGTGGCGAGCGCGCCTTCCCCGTTAGACTTTTTGGGGTGAGACACATGGCCCCCCACGATGGTGGTGATGGTGGCGACGATGGCGATGAGTTTCACAGACAAATTTCCCTTTCAACGTCACGCAAATAAATATATTTTCGTTCACATTTGAAACATCTTCCCAGGGTGGAAATCTGGCCGTTTTATTGTACGCGGTGTATACTGTATTTAAGTGTAAACACCTCAAAGTGGCCAAGCTCATGATGAGTACGGCAAGGAATTACCAAATTCATCTATGTGGAACTCTGGCGTACGTGCGGCGGGTTTTCGCTGAGTCGCAGCCCCCCCCGCACTCCTCCAGTTTCCTGCCACACGAAGGTAAAAAGAGCTGGTCAGTGGACATGGCCAGGCAGGCCCCCCCCCCCCCACCAATGTTGGTAGGAACCCATCCTGAATTAAAGAAGAGTCTTGAGACCTCGGTGAGGCTTCCCCTTGTGTGCATAAAAACGGTGCATTATTTGGAATTTCCTCTCGTACGACCCGTTAACCGAAACGGAGAACGAACAAAAAAAAGCGTCTTGAGTTGTGGACGTTGTAAGTGAAATGGAGAGATGATAGCGGTGGGGGCGGCGGGGGGGGGGGGGGCGAGCGTTCGCAACGCACGCGGCTCACAATCAATGCCCCCCCTCAACCCCTGCAGATGGCATTCCTTTGCCTAATATGGGGGTGAGTTTCGTCGTCTTTCACGGACTTTGACGGCGCACGGATTATGGCATCGCCACCGCGCACGACGCGCTGCAACGGCGGCGGTCACAATACGGAGTGGGGCAAACGGACCCCGGGGGGTGGGGAGGCGTGGGGGTTTGAGCGTGCGGCGCAGTGGTTCGTGCACCGTGCTGTGAAGCCGGCGATCTGAGTTCGATTCTCTAGCATGAGTGGCGATCCTGGTCTTGCGTGGGGGGGAGGCCTTCATCCAGCAGTGGATCGAAAAAGAAGATATGGGCTGTACAAAACAAATATTTGCGTGTTGTAACATGTACAAAGACAAATATCCCCCGTATAGCCTTAGCAGACTGTTGGGGAAAGTGCTGTTAGCAAGCACCTATGAAGGCTGGCATGGCACACGAGGGGGTAGGTGGCCATCACCACGCACTTTGTCTCCCCAGTGGCGATGTTTACACATCACACTCGGTACTCATTTGAGGCTGATTCCGCTCGGGGAAGGCCCAGGACCGATACAGAATAATCCTCAGCGATGTTGGCCGTGAGTAGTAACTGAACTTTGCCTGCCGGGTAGCACAGCGCATGCTGTTACACGCTTGCAAGTGAACCCAGCACCATTTTACGCGCAATCATGCAGTGACCCAGATAATGAACCGGGTCCGTTATTCCTCCGTGGCCACTCATTAGTGGTTATCTGGCCAGAATCGCATATTGACGTGCCCTAATTATTTGGTGCTGATGGGGACATGGGGACGCTTTTTTGCCAAAACTTGTACATTAAGGATCGTGGCTTATGCCAAGCGCTACCCCTGGAATGGGGCACTGCCTTTCCACCTTTGTCTCTCCAGTGCTAATGCTGCTACTTGTGCCCTTGTTAACCAGATTGAGGCTGCACGGGCTATTACAACTCTTAGGGCGGAGTCTACTTAGTGGTGGACCGGCACTGAGTGCACACACACACACACGCAGAAGGGCCTCTCGTTTATATATATACTGTATGTATGTTGAACTTGTTTTTAACCGTACACAGCCAACCGTGCTGATCCTGAAGTGCTTTGATATACGCTGCAATTGACGTGTGTGTAAGCCAGGGTGATGTTTGTGGACTTCGTTATAACTAGGCAGGCACGGGCATTTGATTGAAAACTGGATGAACCCAATGCACTATGAAGTTATTTTTTCACAGGTGTCCAGCCCACAGCTAAGTGGAAAATCACAGAGGAAGTGACATAGATAGATACATTAAACAATCGCATGTAAACTCGGAACAAAGTATCAGAATTTTTTTTTTACCAACAGCAAGAGTTAAAAATAATGCGAAGGAAAATTAGTAATTTCAAAAGTTTTGAGAATGTCGCATAAAGTGAGTGGGCGATGGAGGCTCCGTTAGTCTCGTTAATTGGGCGGTGGCAAACACGCGCCCCCCCGCGCCCCCCCCCCCCCCTCCCCGCTATTGGGGGCGATGTGTGGAGAGAGGTTAATTGGCATCGTTCCTAGAAAAAGGGCAACGCTGAGAACAACAGCTTTGGGAACACCGCTGCGCTTCCGCGCGCCGCACTGCTGCACGACTGCACACCCATCTCGGCGGTTGTGGTTAGGAAACAGGAGGAAATAGCTCAATTATCCGCTGTGGGTTTTTTTTTATTCGTCTAAGCCGAGACATTATACGCGTTCCAAAGAGGGTTTGTTCGGCGTGAAGCCGCGCCGCTCAGGCGTCGTCGTACCGTGACGAGGATTTCATCCTCGTGAAAGGCACTCCGAGCATCTCAAAGGGCCTCGCAACACAATCCACACAGCACACTCGATCGCTACCGGCAGGGTAATGGGGATGGATGCGCGTCGGAAAAAAAAAACCTCCACGCAGTTCTCCCGTCTAATGCGCGGTTTTACTCGTTAAAAATTGATATATTTATTAAGTCAAATCCTAAAATTGTGCGAATACCGTGTTCGCGACCGAATGCCATCTCAACGGAGACCGAGCGTCGCCTGTTGATCTCCCGCCCACACGAGCGACTATCACAAGGACCCGGGTGTGTCCTTGTGAGCGCTGCTACTTCCCAACGACAGAAGACGAGGACGACAAAGACGAACGCAGGCAGAAGAGGGGATAAACAGGAGACAGGATCATACAAAAATTTTTTTATTTGGGACAACGCAGGAAATACGAAACGGCGACATTTCCAGACGCGCGCGTACACGCGGGCACACAGCAACCACGGATGTTCAGCGCCAGTGCAGTGCCAACGAACGGATGCGATGTCCATGCCCACGTGCAGCCCTTTTGTCCATCCACTCTGGGGCCAAGGCCTCCCCGCACCCCACGATGTGTGGATCGTGGGGGGCTATTTGACTTGTAATTCACTACGCTGGGCTGTGCGGGTTGATGAAGGGGAATTAAGAATTGCCCAGCACCGGTTCAGATATCGCTCGCCAACGATTGTTAACCTATGGGCGGGAAACGAACTCTGGTTCGCCAGGTTCACAGCCCCATTTACCACGGCGCCACCGCTGCACCCATTATTGTTTATTGCCGAATAAACATCGCTCGAACGCAGCGGTGGATTTCAAACCCGGTGGCTGTACAAGTGCCGCGTGGAGAGGTTTGTGGGGTCCTCGATGGATGCTAATTAATGCTGCACGGCGGATGGAGCGGATGGCTTCCTGCCAGTCCAACATTTGGGGCGGAGGGAGGAACAGTGGGGCCCCCCACCTTCCCCACACCCCCCACCCTACCCCATATGTTCTCGTACGTATGGGCTGATGACGGTTGCTGCTTAGCAACAGTCAATTTCAAAGTATTTGGTTTGTTGTTTTATGTATTGTTTTTTTCATATTTTTTTAGAAAATAGACTGCTTGATTTAAAATGTGCATGATCTATCGAACAGAAGTAGCTCTGCTGAGTCGCCAGATATCTGCGCGGCGGCAGCATTGCCTTGTTTGAAGACATCACACATGGAGCTATAATAATAATATAATTATTAAAACATAAAAATGCTGATAATTATTTTCCCAAAAAATCCTCACTGAGCCTGAAGATTTGAAGCTTTCGTGACTGCAGGAATCCGTACTCTTTGCCTGATGACGACCGCTTGTGTTGCGATCGAAACGTCGTGATTTGTTTTATTTTATGTTATTCCTAACTACGTGACTTTACCGAAAGAACCAAAGAGTATGAGCCTGAAGATTTTATATATTTTTTTATTGTGAGGGTCCTGCACTGGGATGTATGGTTCATGAGTGCACGTGGGAGGAAACGGGAATTCCTCGAGAGAGAGAGAAAGAGAACCACAAAGACAAAGGGGACAGCAGTCAAAAGACCCCACGTGTAAATCTCATGGCCCTGCTGACAGCACGCGGCAATCTCTGCGTGATCCACCAACACCGGCGTCATTGCATCTCTTTTTGTTGCGGAGCGTTTTCTTGCCATGGGGCGATGCACTGCCCTGCGTCGATTGGGAACGGCTTCTCCGTCTCGTGGCGTGACGCTGACAGCACAATCGTGATTAAATTATTTGGGGGTGGGGGAAACATATTAGCGCAATGATGGAAGACGTGGGACCTTTCCCCCGCCAGGGATGACGCAGTGTGCGCGTGTGTGCGCGAGAGGCATCATCACCGCGATGAGTCATGGGCCATGCCCCCAGGGGCTTCTCTTTCATGTCTAGATGCTGAGATCGACACGAAGCATCTCTCTCCACTTTTCTATATCTCTCTGTCTGCCTCTTTGTGCGTATCGCTGTGTGTGTCTCTCTCCGTGTCTATCTCTCTCTCTCTCTGTCTCCATGTCTCTGTCTCACTATCTATGCCACTCTCTCGCTTCAATGTTTCTATATATTTCTCTCTTCCTGTCCGTGCATGTTCGTGTGTCTCTCTCAATGCCTCTCTGGCTCTCTCTCCACGTGTCTACCTTTCACGGTCTCTTCACACCTGTCTGTCTCTCCACTTCTCTGTAGTTTTCCACGTCTCCTTCTCACCCCATTGTAATTAGATTTGTAACAATGCATTGCGAGCGGGGTTTCATTCCTCGATGCATTTTTGCGGGTCTCTGATAGACTGGAGTAAGCCACGTGACTGGTAGTCGCAGCCACGGTCACAGCGAGAGGGATACTGGATGTGGTGTGCAGGGTGCAGAAATAAAATCCGAGTTCGACAACCCAGACAGACCCAGCTGACGTAAAGCCCGGATTAACTCGAGATCTAACATCCCAGCGTGCATTGAATAAAGCACTTTTTTTTCAATTGTACATTCATGAATAATTCTACGTACAATTCGTGTCTGGCCACCGAATACAAAGGTGCATGTGGAGGATGTTAAAAATGTGACGGAAGGTATAGTTGGGTCGATGCCTCCGGTGCCTTTAATGTCACGCTCGCATAGGAGGTGAAATGCTCAGTTTGCTGATGATGGGGCTCATGCAGGTACATATATCTGTCTTTAGCGCGAGGCTCAAAGCAAATGTATAACTTTAGGTTGACCTTACCCTATCAGTGAATCCGGTCGTCCCCTGGGTTGCCATTTTTGGGAGGGTCTAGTTAAAAAAAATCTTCGCTGTTGGATGTTTCTATTTATAACCGTATAATCGACTGTGTGTGTGTGCGCCAAATACATCAGATTCCTGACCATTCACTAGATAGCTCCCAGTCTTCTACATCTGTTAGATATTAAATGATTTGTAATCTTTAAAAATGACTGGTGTACGTTATCTGTAATGGGATCTAACATGTTTCAGACAAAGACTGGCTTCTCTACTTCCCTACTCGCACACACTATCAGTCAACTTAGCTATTACACATTTTAATCATTCATGTAATAATTGATTAAAACGGGATTCATATTTCACGGCGTGAATTGAATAACGCGTGTAAAAAATAATTCATTTTTTATTTTTACGCTCATGAATACGGTAATAAAAAAAGGTATACGTCGGACGTCAGAAATGTCCCAGCAACTTACAATGCAGCAAGAACAAAATTCATGAAATCGAGAGAAGAGATGGTGGCGATGGGTGGGGATACACGTGTGTGTAGGTTGGAGGAGGGTGAGTTAACGAAACGGGCAATTACCTGGAAACCAAGGAGAAGACCCACAACCAAGCGGTGGTGATGATGAGACTGTAAGGGTGGTGCTTAAAGAATGTGTCAACTGGTTTAGCAAGGACAAGCCCTAAAGTCACACGGTCGTAATGATGAGACTGTCAGAGGCGGTCCTGAAGAGAGGGCAGGTGTCAACTGCGCAACAGCTGAAGTAATCTGATAGGAGAGCTCTGGTGAATTGTGATGTGGTGGCATCAACGAAATTGGCCATGATGACCTCTTGACCTTTTGCACAGGGTAGCAAGCTCCGTCTCGTTGGCCGCTAAGTGCCTCCTAAATCAATCCTTACACTTTCTATAAATAATGAGAAACTCATCAAACAGAAACGTGCATGCAGACTGGAAACCAGTGAGAGCAGTAATAATAATATATGCATGAGTTGATTTATAGATGGCAAGAGGCACGATCGTGACAGTTTGGCTTGGTCCTCCCAGCCTGCCCAGCGTGCCACGTCAGGGAGTCGAGAATGCACAACAGTCTTATTTTCGACCAAGATTTAAACATTATGGCTATATTATTGTTACACAGCAGCAGGACAATGTGACAACTGTACACCAGTTTCATTCTTTTTATGAATCATCACTGCAGTGTAGCCATCGTTACCTACTTGCAGTAGCTGTGATGTCACTTGGCGTGCAAGGCATAATGGGCGGACTGGGCCAAATGTTCACGATCACACCTTTGGCTGTCGAGAAATCACTTTTTGCACATTTTTATCGCAATAAAGCAGGGGTTGGCAGCCTGCGGCTCGTTACGGAAAGTGTCGTGACGTTATTCATTAAGGAGTGTCTCGCATTCACATGCATTGTGGCTCTTGTAATATTGAGTTTTTACCGAATTCGAAAAAAAAAGTATCTTCTTGTTATTTTGGTTGCCGACCCCTGCACTAAAGGGAAGCTGCCATGGCGTGATGGTTCGAATGCTGGACTTGCAATCCAGAGGATGCTGATTCGGTGGACTGCAAGGCCGTGGGAAGCGGACAATGGAACTGTTTTAGATATACATTGATTGAGAGTCGTTGTATACGTTACTGGTACACAGCGGTCCGCGGAAATGTTTTCAGAGCTGACCGTGGTCCAGAAAGGCTTGGGAACCACTCGTCCGTTGCCTATCCAATCGTTATTATTTTTTACTCTTTACGTTGCCTAACTGGCCGGCAACTCGTCCCTTGCCCCGCCAAACCCTCTTCGCCACAGGAACGCTGCTGTCTGCCTTCTCCGTGCTGTGCGGCGCACGCACCGACCTGCCTGACCGCCACGTGTGCTGCGTCTTCTGGCTCAACGTGGCGGCGGCGCTCATCCAGCTGGGCACCGCCGTGCTCATCGTCGGCTGGATCCTCAGCATCTTCTGGGGCATGGACATGGTGTTGCTCTCCAGTGAGTTGCCCCACCCCCCTCCGCTACGGCCTCCCCCCCACGCCTTTAAATCCATAACCCCCGCTCTCTACCCCCAGTGGTTGTGAAAACCTTTTTTGTTGGCTACTGTACCCTTTGATGAAAAATAATAGGGAATAGGATTTACCCTTTCTGGCCATAACACGGGTGGCGTTAAGATGTTCAAACACCAAAATAGATACCTTTTTGCAAGGCATCAATTCTGCATTAACCACATATACTCGTGTCAAAACATACAAAAAAACATGCTCTGATAATATATGTATTGTCCTTGAAACTTATTCGCCTACACCAGAGACGGCCTTCTTTGTGGCCTTGTCTCACCAGTGTTAGACCAGAGAAGGCCAAAAGGCGTACAGTACAAAGACAATGCAAGTGTAGTGTTGTTCAACACGGAGGCAACACTTTTATTTAACAACTTCCTTAGCGGGTAACACTGAACGTAACTCGGGTTCTCTAGTAGGTGATGTGGCTCGCTATGTGAGTAGCGAGTTAACTCGAGATGAAGACCCAGAGACGACGAGACGCGGGACCCAGGCTTGATTCCACCGACGAGCCAACAACGCTCTCCGACTGCCTCTTGATGCTCCTGGGCGTGGCCTCGCTCCGCCTTCGGCCACGCCCCCTTCGAGACCTTTCCCGAAGGATCCCGACCGAGCATCACGTGCCCCACTCAGGCTACCACGTCCTCCCTTGCCCTCTCTCTCAGGCCATTACCAGGACTAGGCCCCCTAGGGCTGGCTGACATGCCGTACTTACTCTGGTGCTGGAGAGAGGCTCCAGATGCACAGTTGCACTCCTGTAACAGTCGCTGGCACGGACACCCTAGTGACACCATTTACGTCGCTACACAAGTATCAGAACACTTATAGCTCAGGTCGAGCAGTTATATCCGTGGGACCTTTGTTTGCCAGTATCAAAATGATGGAAAAAATAAGAAAAGGTTTTTGATTATGAGCAAAAAGGTCCTATAGATACTGTACGCTTTGTTGAATTGTTTAAACCGAGTATCCCCCCACCCCCCTTTGCCTGGCCCAACATGGTTCTAAGAAATACATTTATGAATAATGAACATCAATATTTTAGCCAATTGATCGTGTTGTGAGGTATCCTGACTATCTGGTAATTGCAAGCGAATAATAAACAAAATGTCAACATTGTTTACGATCAATAAGTTAATCAAATGTATTTGATATTGTTCTAGGTTTCCATATGGATTTACATTTTATTGTAGTTATTTTATATTGTCAGATTCAAACGTGATTATTAACCAAAGACTGCCATGTATGATATAATTTCACACATTCATAAATCACCTCCTGTACCCCATTGGACATTGCCACGTACCCCCTCATTTCTCCTCCCCACGACTTTGATCCTTCCCCCCCTAACCCCACCCCTCTATTGAGCGGTGATGCCAAGTGGACGGTTACCAGTCGAGTGTGCCCTCTAATATACAGTATTACAAATTTTCGACGGGTTCGGTGTTTTTTTGGTTGTGGGATTATTTAGTTATTTGTTATTCCACCTGTAGCTGTATTTGAACCCACGTGCACACATCAGATATTCCATGCTCTCGTTTAATAGGCTTTCCAGCCAGCATCCTGATACCACAGTGGGCACTCCCTGGGTGATCTTGTTTTTGCTCGTGACAGTGGTCGCCATGATCGTCAGGGCTGGGGAGACGTGAAGGAAGCCAGCACGCAGAGTCGGCACTGGAAACTTTCCCAGGGGGCAGGGGCTCTGGGCGGGGGGGGGGGGTCCCAAAACATCCAGCGTTTTAAATATGGCACTACATTTATAAAAATATATACACATTTAATTCAGTGTATTTTCCCTGGTAAATTTCAATAAAGTATCATTTTTAGGTCTCAAGGGGGGATTGGGGAGGGGGGGGGTTATTGGCCCCTGAAAGGGGTTGCTATCTTTAAGACAAAGTTTGAATAAAATTGAACGATGCATTGATTCATTTTGATTCTCAAGCACACGGTGCATGCATCAAATCATGCTCGTCATAATTATTTGTGATTCGTACGCGCATCTTGTACGTCATGAGTTCGTCGAATCAATGCAGCTCCTAGTGGCTGCTACCATTCGCAATAAATTACAGTAGTAAAAAAAAACTCCTCAATGGAATCGTGACCTGAATCGTGACAATTGAATTGTGGCGTGTGCAGCTTGGGCTGTCCGGATACTCATGTGCAGAAGAGCATCGCGTTTGCCCTTGAGCTGCTCCTCTGTGCTGTCAATAACATTTATAATAATAGTATTAATTGACAGCCCTGTGTAATTCCACCACTGGATGAAGGTCTCCCCACGCTGTATTGGTTGTGGGGGTTGTACGATCACACTTGAGCACCCGGGAATCAGGGGTCACCCAGGACCGGTTCAGATATCACTCGCCGCTAATCTCAGCCCTAGCTGGGAATCGAACGCAGGTCGCCAGGTTCATAGCCCAGTACAGCGCACCCCCCCCCCATAACATGTTTATGCTGTGCGCTATAAACATTTACCTTTGCCTCTGATCCCGTCCTCTGACAAATCCACCATTTTAATTTTATTAAAAATGTCATCGAGTCCCCCATGCGCTTTTGGAATTTAGTGATGATCATCTCCATTGCTCTTCCTGAGACAGCGATGTAAATTCCACGTTCATATGGCAGGGATCAGCATCTCCTTAATTGAACAACACGATGATTGCGGTGGCACGTGTGTCTCCCCGCTCCCAGAGGGCCGTTCCCAGCAATATCCCCAGCAGCTGTGAGCGTGGAGAAAGTGGGAGCACGAGGAAGATGAGGAGGACGAGGAGTGGGAGACGGAGACAATGACACATCCACGACCGATTCTCCTCCGCTGACCAGCACGTGCAAGAAACGCCCCGCGATTTCTCCACCACGGGCACAGCCGCCCCCTCAAAATCCTCATCTTACCAACAACCACGCCGATTCTTACCTCATTACTTTACAGGGGATCGTTAAACCATCGCACAATTCTGCCAACGCTTAAATAAAATTGCTCGGCCCAGTGGTGGCACCACCACGTGGCCTTCAATGCCATCGGGTGTATTCACCTGCGAGAAATGTACGTTCGTAAATTTGACGAATCCATAGAGAGGTGTGAGTTGGTCTTGGGCGGTGTGATTAGCAGTGGTGGAAGAGGCTTGGAGTCAAGGTGAGTGAGGGAATGGGACCATCATTAGTGTCACTAGTCAATGACGATGGTGCCTTCGTTCACCCCAGCGTCATCCCCAAGCAAGAGATGATAAATTCCCCCCCCCAAAAACCCGCTGACAACTGTGTTCCCCATCCGTAAATATCACCTGCACCAGCGCCAGGTGTTTGGTGGGTGCTGAATTGCAAAGAAACACATTTCTGTAAATTCTGACCTGGTTGGGCCTTTTGTTTGAGTTTTAACCCCACTGAAATCGAGTCTGGTTTGAGCAAATGACCAACTTCAGCCAAATACGTTCTGACCCATCGTGCTTTTCTTTTAGGGGTGGAAGGATGCATCGATTCACGAATCAATATTGTTTTTTAAGCTCACAATACACTCATCGAATTACACTTGTAAGACTCTACCAATTATAATGCCTTTATAATTGGTAGTTGTATGGGAATGGGTTGAGGCACTGCAATTAAATAATATTGGAATCTTGAATTGCAGTGTGACTTTCAATTGTGACAATTGGTCGGATTGCCAGGTAGTGAATCTTTCCACCCTAGATTGATCAGACTCGTTAAAAAATGATTTCTATCTGACAAATGGACATTCGTCACCTTTGTGCTGGATGTACAGGGCGATCAGTTTACAGATACTCCACTAAAATATGGATACATTCTAGAGACGTAGAATTTTACTTAAAAGCCTCAGCATTCCTCCCACAATCCCAGTGTGCTCATTAAATCTGTAACACTCCTCTATGTACGATATGGAGCTATCGCTTTCGCAATATTCAATCACCTGTTGAGAAGAAAGTAAGAGGGCGTCTTTAGATGTCGGTGCGGAGTATCTGTAAATAGTTAACCCTGTGCAATATAATTTACACTGACTATATAACACAGATCATGTGTCGTAAAAAAACTGACCTCTAGCTCTATAAATCCGTAACATGAAAATGTATCATCTACAGTGGCTTGGGGTGGAAGCCATCACTACTTGTCAATGTATAATAAGACGCGTGTCAGGCCCGCCAGGTGCATTGACAGCCCCAAAACCATGACCCTGCCCTGACAATCTCATCTGCCCGGCCCTCTGGCTGTTCTTTCAGCCCTATGGGTCCACATCTCCAGACTGTAAATTGTTAGGCGCAAATAGCCAACGTGTTAGTATTGTCCATTGACGAAAACAAAACACGAATTTAACCATGACATGAAGCCTCATGGAGGAATGAACAAAATAATTACATTTATTTTAAAAGGAGAAAAAAACATATTCCACAGAATTATTTTGACGTTGCATTGCAGAACCTTAGAAGCGTTATTAGGAATTGCGATTAATAATATAATATGGTGCCAAATTGTTCATTTGTGGTATATTATCTACGTATTTCCTATTCGTTGTGATTTATTACACAGTATTTATGATTGTTATTATTTGTCTGCTGGAATTCCACACGCTCGTACATTTATATACAGAAAACGTTACACGTGTGCATTCCAGCTGTGACGCACATGCGCACACACACATGCACACCCTCTTCGTGCATCACATAGGTGCTTCTACTCGCAGTGTAGTACATGTAGTGTCCACCTTGCCACGGTAAAAAAAATGCTGCCAATATGACACTCGCAGCAGCTTGAAACTTCCTGGAGCTACCGGTCATTGAAAAAAGACACCAGACCACAACCCTCTAACCCGGTTTGCTTATCTGCTATTCTCTCTTCACATCATTGCCTACAGGTAGCAGTTGTTATTACCAAGATGGCTTCTGAATTTCTCATGTTTTCTGAATTTCGAGTTGTGATATCTAGTAGTGGTGTAACGTTGCGCCAATTTGTTGACTAATATTAATATATTTGTTAATCTCGCGAGACACACATTCAATAATGCGCATTTGAGAATGGACGCTTATTGCAAATTCCGACGTTGTACGGAATGGGTTCACGGTGAGCCCAGTTCGGGGCCACTACATTCACCATAATGTAAGACACAAATTGATTCTTGTAATGATATCGGGACAATTTGTCGAATCACCATTTGATGGCGCGGAGAATGATCGTTCCAACCGCTATTATCTACTGTACCCGAATTCTCTGAATTAGTGCAGTAATGAAGCCACTCACACACACACATAAGATATCTCATTTGGGCCGTGCAATTTAGAGGACAAGTGTTGTTTGGGAGCACATATATCTTGCTTATTTGAACTGTTCCTGGGTGATTCATAGCATACTGGGTTAAAAACTGTAACGAAAACAGGACCGCAGTCAGCTGATACATCGATATATTTCTCTTCCTCGTGGTGAGAGGGGGAACAATTTATTTGAAAAATATAATCAAGGCACAGTGCAGTAAATGTGTGTGTGGGTGTATGATTAATGCTGCATGGCCACGTTACGTATCCATTACATTTCAGAAGTTTTAATTTTGGCTGTCTCTGTACATGGATGCTTTTACAGGAGTTCGAGTGCAGGGTATACATATTGGCAGCACATGGCTCATATATACACGATGCATACACTGACAAGCACGCATACGTACTTACACGCCAGTATCGTTATCCAGGTTCTCATAAACTTGCTCAATTCAAGAGATGTATTCTCTCCTTACCTATTACACCTTCAATAGTGCCGTTTGTTGCTGGCCGCCTAACGTTTTGTGCATTTGGGCCTGTGCTCAGCTTTCGTTATTTAAAAAACAAAGGACAAACAGGCAGGCATGTATATGCCCCTCTCACCAATTTCGAGCACCCTGGGAGAATTTACAGGGTTCACACATGAACTGCCACCGATTATATATACGGTAGATGCTCAGTGCTGAGAGCTGATAATAGGGATTTAAATAATTCAAAGGTCATTTAGCTCCTCCCACCTTTAGCTGCAGCCCGATGCCAATCGCAGAGGGTGGGTGACAGCATTTGCAGGCCAAAATATATATAAACAATGGATAAATTGTAGGTGTGTGCCGAAATCCACGTCGAACCACCGTGCATAATTGTTCAGTCACTGATAAATGCACGCACGGTAACAATTATCCCGTACACACATCCCTGCAGCGGGTTGGCGTACAAATACAGGAGCAGCAACAGCCTCTCGAGGGGTCAGCATATTCACCCAAAACCCTGAGTGACAAGTTCCCGTCGTGGTTAATGAGGCCGGACCTCATCGTTATGGCTATGTACATATATATTTATTTTCATCGTTGCCTATAACGCTGTGCACAAAATTGCGCTACGTGATTACACTCACCACACTGAAAAAAATATATAATAACGCGAAACGAGCGCTGGGCTACATTAAACGGAAGACGGTAGCTTACTCTTGAAGTGTCATGCATTGAATGGCGTGGCAATGTTTTGGCCTCATTAATGTGCGTGACTCCTCCGGATGTGTCTATCGGTCAGCGTAAGTGGGAGAATTATTAGGTTCGATGTAAACGTGAGCCACAAGCACACGGCTATGGCAGACTGTATCTCAATCCGCCTCTACATTATCTAGTTCAATGCATTCGCACTTTATAGTGTCCTTATATATTAGGTAGGCTGTAGTCTTTATATATATGTAGTTTTGTAGGCGAATATGCGAGCTCACGCAGCATTGGTTATACGTTTTACAATGCATAGGATCATCATTAGACTTCCTTTGCTAGTACCAAAATTTAATAATAGGGGTTTTCCCCTTTTTTCTGGCAACAAAACTGAAACCTTATTACAAGGATTCATGTCTGCATTAACCAGAATACTTGCAGTCAAAATGCAAACAAAAACATACTATGATTATACATGCATTGTCCTTGAAACTGATTGGCCCACACCAAGGGACGGCTTTCTTTTGAGCCTCGACCCAATTGGTGCTCGACCAGAAGACGCCAAAAGGCGTTTATTAAATGCATAGGATGTACGGATCGGTTGCTGAACAATATTAAACGTATAGCCCAAAGTACGTGTGTGCATCTCTTTTAGAGATGAATAAAAGTGTTAATGTTATTATTTATGAATTTAATGGAATAATTAAAGTGCATTACTGTTGTATATAAAGTGCGCACATTAAGTTTTTTCGTTTGCTTCAATGGCTCTGCACGTGTCACATTTACATTCTGGGTAAGCCCGAAATTTACACGGCCAATTTAAAATCATTATGAATTGCTTCACAATGTTTGAGAAATATGATATTGGCACGAAATGTTATAATTAGCGCTGCCGTAATTACAATCTGCAACACTTTAGCAGAGCTGGTTTTATGAGCCACGAGAAAAGCCTGCTGCTGTTTGGAGCCCTCACAAGAAAACTCGAAATTACCAACAGTGACTCATCTGTGTGGCTTTCTGCCTGTCAAGTCCCTGCCAAATCCCCTGCCAGCCTTGACTGGCACACAACCTTTAATTTGTTATTTGTTCTGCCAGGCCACCCGCTCAAGCCACGTTTCAGCAATCGTACGTTTGGCAGGATAAATGATCGATTATCGTAAGGCACTGATAATCATGCATTTACCCCCCCACCTCCCCAAAATGCTATATTATTATTTAAAGTATATGGAAGTAGAACTGTTCCGTGTCTCCACATATAAGTCAAAGTGTGTGTTTAGTCCATTATCCCGTTGTATTTCCAGACAAATATTGAGCAGAATTTGTTTGAAAAAAATCGAACTCTACTGGCTTTTACCTTCTGCGGCTCCTCATCAGAGTCAGGCTTGTAAGCAAATGCCGTTGGATTACCAGATGTTACTGTCAGGAGTACTCCATATAAACCATGGGACCCCATTCAACCGAAAAAGCGACATCGTACACAAACCCACTACGTTTTGTCATGTAGTATTATGGGTACAAATTTGAAAGTATATTGTCTTCAAATATAAATACTGTACACGCATTTTCTGTGACTCATTAAATTGTGTACTTCAATATTATATAAGGGACCCCATACTCTTTGGTTCTTTCGGTAAAGTCACGTAGTTAGAAATAAAATAAAACAAATCACGACGTTTTATTTTCTTTCTAACTACGACGTGACTTTACCGAAAGAACCAAAGAGTATGAATTCCTGCAGTCACGAAACCTTCAAATCAAGATACATAAGGGACCTCTGTCGTGGTTTAAGGTCCACAGAAGCAGTGCGGATACAGCACAGGGCATTTCCATTTCCGATCACGCTCAACTCATGGCTTAATCTAAACAAAATCGTGTCCAGTTTTATTCAGTCACAATTGTTCCTCAGCCAAGCATATCAAGTTGAATGAGACACCTTAAACGAACTCTATGTTCCTGGCTTTGAGACACGCAGTGATCTTCATCCAAGAGGCTTTGAAAAATTACAATAATTATGTATGAATGACTCTGTAAATGCAAGCCCACGCTCTGTGTAACAATGAAACGCATTACAGGAGAGGGATCATTAACTGTCGTTTGGATCGTGTGTGCTAATTGCTACATAGGGGCCCAGTGGGCTATCCTTTGTCCGATCCTTTGGAGGAATTGTGTCTTGAGTGTACGGAGCAATATTAAACATAATTTTACTTAGCCTTTGATACGTTCTGATGATGATATTTTATTCTCAGGGGCAAATTAACGTATTGGCGGTATGCCGGTGCGAAGTATATATATAAAAAAGCGAATAATTCGCATTATTGGTTCTTTCGGTAAAGTCACTTCATTCTAGATTTGAAGCTTTCGTGACTGCAAGGATTTATACTCTTTGTTTTTTTCGGTAAATCACGACGTTTCGGAGGCAACACAAGAAGGAAGCTTGTGTTGCCTCCGAAACGTCGTGATTTAATTTATGTTTTTTCTTTTCTTCCTTTTATTTTAACCTACGTGACTTTACCGAAAAAACCAAAGAGTATAAAAGTCACTTCACTTTGCCGAAAAAACCAAGAATATGAATCCCTGCAGTCACGAAAGCTTTAAATCGAAGAATAATTCGCAATTTATTTATTTTCTCGAGATTTGCAACCCCGGTCAGAAAATCTTACGGGGTGGTGCGTCAAAATCAGTTCTCGTGATGTCGAAGCATTCGGGGACGACAAAATGTTATAATCAGCTGAACAGGAAGCTTTCGCAGTCTATTGCTGTATAGCGCACAGCCTGATGGCGATTGGCACCGTTGTTCCAAAGGCAGATTTGATTCGTGCCCTAGACTTGGTCGGACGGTTCCTCAATGATTCATTTCAGGAAAAAATGTATTGGCGGACGGTGGCATCAAAAGGTTTATGCCTCATGTCACGTTTGATTGGGAAAGCAGCTGCTGAATCCAAGGCAACTTTCTAAGGGAGAGTCTGCAGTTCACTCAAGGGCAACAGCGACACCTTCAGACTGTTTTATGAGCGCCGGTGAAGCTATTCTGCTATTTTTTTCCCTACGTGACTTTACCGAATAGAACCAAAGAGTATGGATCCTTGCAGTCACGAAAGCTTCAAATCTAGAATATTCTGCACAAGTGTACCGCCAATACGTCCAAGTGTAACTTAAAGATACAGTTAAAACACCGGGATTTAAAATCTAAATGTGGCAATACGGTAAAGACATAACATTTATTTTCAAAAGTGTTGTCTTTCCCCCACATCGTTTTGGTGTCAGACCACGACACATTATTCTAGATTTGAAGTTTTCGTGACTACAAGGATCCATATTCTTTGGTTCTTTCGGTAAAGTCACGTAGGTGAACAAAAATAAAATGAATTAAATCACATTTAATTTAGTGATTTAAAAATATATATTTTTTTCACCTACGTGACTTTACCGAAAGAACCAAAGAATAACACGACACATTAATCCGTTTGGTTCTCTTGCACAGCAGTTGCAGATCCTTCGTGTTTGAGAAAGCCCTGTGGAAATGGGTACTACAAAACTACTTCTGAAATCCCTTCAAGTTAACTCTGGTAAGGGGGTAGCATTTGTATTTGTTGTGTGACAGTCAAATTCATATTTTGTTAGTTCTCGAGAGTTGGAAATAAAATGTTCAACCGAATTCGCGTTTTTTTTTGTGGTGACGATTGGACTGAAACCATAAATGCACGGATTCATCTGGCGGAGTCTTGCCTGGATTCGACCCCAGCATCTTCGCCAGTGGCACAGCACTCTTGACCTCTGAGTCACAGTGTCACCTCTCATAACTCAGCCCACTAACCCACTAAGCTCGTTCATGAGTGAAAGGGCAACACAAAACTATGGAGCATATATAATGAACCTACTAAGCCTGCGCTCATTCAACGGAGGAGGAAAAACAAAACTGCACAAACTCTAACCCCTGAAGCCCTTTCGAATCGAAAAACTTAAGATTCAAAAATGAAATTTGCTTAAACAAAAACGATTTCCCAGTGCACCCGTTACATCTTCTTTGGTTCTTTCGGTAAAGTCACGTAGAATGAGAATAAAATAATAAATTGATAAAATAAGCGGCCTTCATCACTTGATGAAGGCAGCTTGTGTTGTGGCCGAAACGTCGTGAGAATATTATTGTTGTTATTTTATTTTATCAATGTATTATTTTATTCTCATTCTACGTGACTTTACCGAAAGAACCAAAGAAGATGAATCCTTGCAGTCACGAAAGCTTTAAATCGAAATTCAACCGTTACATGTAAAATAAAATGGATTATAACGAACTTAACACATTTAAAAAAAAGTGTGCAGGATTCGGTTATTAAAACCCGACAAATTGTTTAACCCACATTCACAATGACAGCACTGTACCCTAGTTTCTAAAAACTTTTTTCTTCTTCTTTTCTTTAAGTCACGGCAAATTCCGAAACGAGATCCGCTAAATCGCAGCCGCAAGGTCTTCCCGCACGCGCGGAGAACAACCCGCGCGCAACAAAAAGCGCGCGCTTTTCGTCGTTGTTGCTGAACATTCGTCACGAAACGCATCGCGCGTTTATTTGTGAGGAAAATAGGGGGTACGTTTAACAAAAAAAATAATACTATTTAAAATAAGGGATTTAAATAATTAAGCTCGACCCCCCCCCCCTCACCCCCTCACAAGCTGGGCCGCCCCCTTTGTTGTTGTCGCTGCTGCTACTACTGCAGCGATGGCGGACAAACCCTTCAAGGCGGAGTACGCGAAGAGCAGCCGCGCTTCGTGCAAAAAATGCGGCGGCAACATTGAGAAGGACTGCCTGCGTCTCGCAGTCATGGTGCAGGTGAGCCTCTTCCAACCCTCCCCCCATGCATCGGTGACGTTTTATAGTTTTGAAGCTGGATTTTTGTGTTGCGTCGTTTTCCCGTCCCCCTCCATCTCCCTTCAAATCGTGGCCTAGCGCGCATTCCCCGAGGGTTGAGTAGCGGTCTCGACTAGTTCGACAGGCCGGGTAGAGGGCGACCTTGCTCCCGCATGCCCGAGGCCCTCGACACACGGGGCACTCTGGATTTTCGCGCTCTTTTTTTAATATTGTATTTTTAAGACGGGAGTCAATTTATGGAGAAAATGTATAATTTTCGATCATTGAACATCGCACTGGACGCTAATTAACAAAGCACGATGATGCACATCGCGCATTGAGGTGTGCACCACCACGTGTTTCTCGCAGAGATAACGTTTCGGTTGCACGGTTTTCCCCGACCCGTTGTCGGTAAAAAAGCTTCATATATGTCCCGTATTTTTTGTTTCGTTATTTGCTGCAGCGTAGTGACGTTTTCCCACAAGAGATTTGGGGGGGGGGAGGGAGTTTGGTCGTAAACACAGCTGCTAAATAAATATTGGAACATTCCAACGGTGGTGTGTAATGTACTGTAGTTCATTTCAGGTCACTGTGGTCGCGGCCATGCTTTGCGCAGTGTGTTTTGTGTGGGGAGGGCTTTTCCTTTTAAATTCCCGCGACAAAACTGCATTGCATTTGTCTTGAGCGGGCTCACCCAAATGAGAGAAACGTGGTGCATCTGCGTGCTGTCTTTGTTCCAGTCCACCGCGCGTGTGGGTGCACTGCAGTGTGTATTTCACCGTCATGCTAAGTGGAATGCAACACCACACCCACGAAGCAGGGCGGATCCATTGTCGTCAGATGCAGTTGTAGGTCCAGAGAGAGAGAGAGAGGGAGTGCATCAAGCGTCTCTTGCGTTGCTCCAGTGGAAGTTGTATTGTTGTGCTTCGTGCATGCCATGTATAGCTACCTGGCTTTTGTAGAATTTGCACCGTTGCCTGCTGCTTTGAAAAGTGTTATAAAAGCATGCTCCCTTTTGAGAGTTGTGACCCAAACACAAAACTGGGCACGCTCAAGAGTTGACCTAGTTTTTGGATTTTAGGGAGGGGAGGGAACAAACCTGTTGCAGTCCAGCATTCGATAAGATCCTACTTTTATGTCAAATTATATTTGTGTATAGTAAATGCTATGTTTTAATCTGCTTCATAGGAATGTGTACGTTCTTTTTGGATGTTGCACTTTGAGAACAGTTTTGCGAATTGCAGTCTCAGTGTGCATTGCATGCTCACTGGTGTTCACAAATTGAACGATCCTGCACATTGGCACGATGAGCAAAAAAATATTGCCATGATGGACTATTATATGATGATCCACAGCCTGTTTTGTCCTTTTTTGTCCACCTTGATGCTAAATAAAAAAATAGGTATGCATCATTCACCAAGAATTGTCCATCCCAATTGGATCAGCCGGCACTCATGAATTCTGCTTGTGATGTTTGTGCCCGCAGTCACCCAGGTTTGACGGCAAGGTGCCACAGTGGCACCATTTCCAGTGCTTTTGGAAGCGCGCGCGGCCTCTGACGCAGGCCGATGTGGACGGCTTCAGCGAGTTGCGCAGCGCTGACCAGGACCGCATCAAGAAGCACATCGAGGGCAGTGCGGACGGTGAAGGTGTGCCAATCGTTCTTCACCAGAGCAGGAACCTTTGCGCTGCGGTTAATAATGCGAATCAGCTTCCAAGTTATTTGGTTCTTTCGGTAAAGTCACGTAGAATGAGAATAAAATAAAACAATAAAATTCTCGCGACGTTTCGGCCACAACACAAGTGGCCTTCAGGTGAAAGGAACAAACCTGTCGGGACAGGTTCCTTTCACCTGAAGAAGGAACAAACCTGTCGGGACAGGTTCCTTTCATCTGAAGAAGGCCACTTGTGTTGTGGCCGAAACGTCGTGAGAATTTTATTGTTATATTTTATTATTTTATTCTCATTCTACATGACTTTACCGAAAGAACCAAAGAAGATGAATCCTTGCAGTCACGAAAGCTTTAAATCGAAATTCAGCTTCCTTGTGGGTTTTTATATCAGTTGGGCTTCAGAATATAAAAATAAAAAACTTTATATGTAGTAAAACAATTTTTTATTCCATAATTTTACCAACGTCGGCAAAAAAAGATTGCGGTTTATATATTTAAATTAGGTTTTAAGCACATCTAAATTTTGCCTAAGTTTCGTGGTTTTCAGTTAATGTACGCTTATACTTTTTCTGTACAGTACAGTGACACACATCTAACTCGTTGGGGACTGAGGAATAAGCAGATACGTGAAAAGTTTGATATGTGAAGATAGATTAAATGGGCAAGTTATTACTGCCACTGGTCACTACTCTTAACAAGCGAGTATTTACCCAAGCACGGTGGACTCTTTGCTTTTCCAGGGAAAAGCAGTGGCAAGGCAAATGGAGGAGCAGCAGCATCAAACACCCTCCCAGATTTTTTGGTGGAGTACGCCAAGTCCAACCGCAGCAAGTGCAAGGGCTGTGATGACAAGATCGAGAAGGCTTGTGACTCATTGCTCTATTTTCTTTAGCCACACTGCATTGTGGGATCTAGTTTATAGTGAAGCACGAGTATTTAGAGCTAACTGGTGGTGTAAATGTACTTCAATGTTACCTGTAACAAGTTGATTTTTACATCACTTGAAGGTTTGCATTAACAGCCTTTTCTGCCACTCAAATATCCAGGACGACGTGCGTATCTCGCGGAAGATGATCAACATCGAGAAGCCGCACCTGGGCATGATTGACCACTGGTACCACACCAACTGTTTCGTGGAACATCGCGACACGCTGGGCTTCCTTTCGACGTACGGCGCAAATCAGATCGGTGGCTTCACGCGGCTCAACGCCAATGACAAGAAGGCTGTCGAGACCCTGCTCGGCACTGTCGTCGTCGATGGGTAAGCATGCACATCCAGTGTTGCTGGGTGCTGGTGAGTGCCCTGTGATTGATGGGGTGTGGATCACTGAATGGACAGCTTGCTTAGAATTAATGGTTCACTTGTTACAGCCACCAGGTAAATCCTGCAGGGAATGATCAAATGTGCATTCTACAAAAAAAGAAATGAAAGCGAGTGCGGAATTTGTAAAAAAAATAGTCAACACCGTAACAAATCAATGTTTGTAAAATATGCGTCCCAAATCATATTTACAAAACTTAATGTTTAGGTTTTAGGTGTGTTTTTGGGTTGTACCGTCTGTTTGGCATGATTTCAGAGATTTCGCTCCAGGTGTTGTGTGTTTCTTCAGGAACTGAAACATCAGACGTTCTGAACAAACACCCGGAAACAATATTGTAGAGCTATAAAACACAACTGCGAAATCCTGCACAGTTGTAAAGCTTACATGTTTTACATTTAACCAACGGACTCCACGTCTCCTTTAAAATATAATTTTGATTAGGTTTCCATATGGTTAAAGAAATGGATTCACAGTTCTGACTACTCTTGCTGAGTCTTGTAGAGTGTGTCATTTGCAGAGCAGGTCAAAATGATGGGTTATATGGGATTTGTGTAAGTAATATAGTGGGTTGCCACTGGGTGGGACTGACTCACCATATTCATAGCCTTATACTTTTCTGTTTTAATGGCACTAATGACCTGTGTACAGCTCGCGAGTGGTATAAACAGCAATCTTAAGCACACCTGTAAGTTCTGTTGGTGGTTCCACAGACCTCTTCATGGTGCGGTAATCCTGTGTTTACTTGCGGCACACCTGGACTTGGGAGCGCACAGCCTGTGCACACACCAATAAGTCCAACAGTGTTGCTATCTTTGAAATCAATCTGAAAGCTGAGCTTTTCGTTCTGGCTTTACCAGAGTAATTCTTATTTCATTGTAGAAGGATTTTTCAGAATCAATAAATCAGAATCAGAATTTGTGTTTATCCTAGAGGAATCTGATGAGCTATGAAGCTCTTTTTCACAGTTGTCCAGTAGGTACGGATCGGCAAGTAATTGTTTTACACAGTTCTGTTCATATAATTACTTATAATTTTCCGTCGGTCAGAGATACCCCCAAAAATAGGATGCAAATGTGGAGTGCGGTATCAGGTTACATTACTATTATTGACTGTCGTTAACATCGTGAGCAACTCACTTCAACCGCACGTTTTCCTGTTGCCAATCGGCACACGTTAAGTTATGCTATCACTGCAATTAAGAGTGTGCCTATTGCCTTGAGCGATGGTTTGGCAGCTCGTTAATATTACAGCAGAGTTCATGCACTTGAGAGTCATTAATTAATTTATTTTTATTAAGCCAAGAGGCTGCATGTTTTTGTAGTGTAAAAAGTGTGCATACAGACTCGTAATATTGCTGAGTTCCACAACAATGCATAATTCGTTTTTATACAATGTCGATTTTGTATTGAACAGAGTTCTGTTAAGTGAACAGTGTTTTTACCCATTTAAGATAAGCACAAACCAGCAGTGTTTGTTTACCGATCCTCACTCTTCTGGTGAGGCCCAAAATGTGGTTATTGAAACAGCCTGCTGGATAAACATTTTCAGGGAAAGCATGCCGGACTAAAAATAGATTTTATTTGTATGAGGACATGAAGAATATATATTAGTAATAAGTAAGTCAGATCGGGTAGCTTTTCGACATGGAAGTTTATTATATAATGCTTTTGGATGTGTGGACATTTCTTGTATGTATTTTACAACGTTATGGTTTATAAAAAAAAACATTTTGTAACACTCCACTATTGATACTGATTGCACAGGTAAGGTTTGAATGCACTCTTGTATTCATGGCAGTAAACGTATCAGCATTTGATAATAAGGGTTTCCCCTTTCTTCTGGCAACAAAACAGGTGCTAAGATGTTAAAACACCAAACTGAAACCTTTTACGAGGAATCATGTCTGCATTAACCACAATGCTTGTGGTCAGAATGCAAAAAAATTACTCTGATAATATATGCATTGTCCTTGAAACTGATTGGTCCACACCAGAGATAGCTTTCTTTTGAACCTCGTATCAAACGGTTTTAGACCAGGACAATGCATATATTATCAGTGTTTTTTGTTTGCATTCTGACCACAAGCATTGTGGTTAATGCAGACATGATTCCTCGTAAAATGTTTCAGTTTGGTGCTTTAACATCTTAGCACCTGTTTTGTTGCCAGAAAAAAGGGGAAAAACCTATTATCATATTTTGGTACTGGCAAAGGAGGTCCCATGATGCATCATTTCTATAATGGTGTCCAGTACATCATCACAAATAAATAAATAGAAATAATCAATGCAATAATTTGGTATACAGTGCTTATACATATTCAAAAGAGGTCTAACACATACATGTTGTGTCATGTGGTGTACCGTAGCAATAATTTTGTAATTTGACCTTTACCCTGTTATGTGTATGTGAGTGGCATGAGGATTGGCTGCTTGCCCATTCTCTTGAATTATGCTGGCTCTACAAACTGGCTAGTCCGGCTCATTTTACCGATGTTCTTTTGTGCATCTTTTTTCATGAAACCACTGCAGAATATGCTTTGTGTTTGTGTTCACTGGCAAAAGCAGGTTCCCGGGTAGTAAGTGCTATTTCCTAATTGCTTATGCCTCAAAAGTACAGAAAATAGCTATTATTTCCCACAAACTTTGCTTTTGTGACCAGGACATTGATATCTAGAAATTTACCTATTTTCAATGAGAAAACGGGCGAATTTATGTCTTTTCGTTCACATAAAGTCAGAAAACAATAACATATGAATCAAAATTAACATGTATTTCTATTAAAGTAATACAAAAATAATTATGAAAGATTTAGACACCAAGGCGCACTACCACAGGCGGGACTGGCCACAGCAGACCGAGTTCTCTTTGGGGAGGAACAACGTCAAGTGGGAGCCACTGGTGGACCCCCGGAAGGTGCTGATGCCACCACTGCACATCAAATTGGGCCTTATGAAAGAAATTTGTCAGAGCTGTAGATAAGGAGTCGGCAGCCTTCAAATACCTTCAAGACTTCTTCCCTAAGCTGTCTGAGGCAAAGGTCAAAGCCGGTGTCTTCGTCAGACCATAGATAAAGAAGATCCTGGAGTGCAAATAATTCCCCAAGAAGCTTACTAGTAAAGAGAACGCTGCTTGGAACAGCTTTGTCGCAGTGGGTCGTGGTTTCCTGGGCAATCACAAGGTCGAAAACTATGTGGAGCTGGTTAAGACTGGTAAAGAACTACGGCACAATGGGCTGTAGGATGGGAGCGTACTCGGAGGAGCAAGGCGAGCGCTTCGACCAGGATATACTGGACTTTGAACGCCGCTGCCATAAGCAGTATAATGAGAACATGATGGGAGACTACATTTGGGGGCTGATTCGTGAAAGGGATTTACAGTATAATCATAAATCTCTAAAAACTCGCTTCTAAATCTTTTGTAGTAATTGTTTTATTTCTTTAGTATAAATACATGTTAATTTTGATTCGTATGTTGTTTTTTTCTAACTTTATGTAACGAAAAGACACATATTTGCCGGTTTTCTCATTGAAAATTGGTACATTTCAAAATATCACTGTCCTGGTCACAAAGCAAAGTTTGTGTGGAATAATAACCATTTTCTATACTTTTGAGGCATAAGCAATTAGGAAATAACACTTACTACCCAGGAACAAAGATTGTGTTACATAGTGTAACTATTGACAAATTTTGTCCACATTGACAATGGGAAAATCCCATTCCACCTCTGCCTAAGCTTCAATATTACACACCTTGGCGTAAACTCTTTTCTGAGTTGGTGACTCACAATATTGTCTTTCAAGCTCACCAGCTTATCTGTGATTATGCTTTGGTGGCTCCAAGTGTGCCTGTGAGGAGGCTTAATGCCACGCTACCCTGGGTTTCCCTGCAGCACCATGTTGGGGAGGTTGGTGCGTGAAGTCTCTATGCCCACGGTGGTGCTGGGAACCTGTGTGTCATCGTCGGTTTCCCTCGCGTCCCGGCACATAATGAGCGACAGGAAAGCACGACGGTACGACTTCATGCGATAGGCGTACAGGAAGGGATTGACCACTGAGTTGGCATGCGACAGAATGATGGCGGCGAGAAGCAGGCCGTACGGCGTGTTGCTGCCTGGGCATAACAGGCTGATGCAGTTGAGGACGTGGAGGGGAATCCAGCAGACTGTGAAGAGGAAGAGTACCAGGAAGAGCGAGGTCGCTGTTTTGACCTCCTTCGTCAGCGACTGCATGCTGCGTTCCTGGCAATGAAATTCACTGCTAGGGGCATGGTTTTCAACGAAGTTTGGCTCTCTTCGCTTAGCTCCGTGGCATTTTTGGAATTAGTTTTGACTTTGACAGTATTTCTGATAGCACCTTTTTCAGATGATCGGACAGTCATAAATAAGTGAAAAAATACCTTAAATTTTAGTGTTTTAACACAACATTGAAACTCCCCTTTTTATGGTGATTTGTTGGATCCAAATTTAAGATCCTATCATCTACACCCATCCACGAAAATATCTTCTTATAGCTTCTCAATTAGCCATGGATAAACGTGGAATTATACTACTTTCCCACCAAGTCTAGGTAACTCTTCTTCTCCACAAAAAGGCTTGTATAATGTGAATTTAGTCTTTTTGAAGACCATTTTTGGGTACCTCTTTGTCGATAAACATGGATGTTAATGAACATTTTTTTACTCCTCTTATCCGTGAAGAAATTGTAGAACAGTATTCCCTCCTTATTCGCGAGGGATACGTTCTGGAAATGCTCGTGAATAGCACGTTTCGTGCATAATGATACCTTTTTATGAATTACCTTAAGTAAATACGTAAATAAGCCATTGAATAATGGTAATTATCATAACACAAACAAATTGGTTATAATAAACAAAGTAAAAACAAATAAAAGTATAAAATAGTGTTATAAGTTAACTACCTTAAATTATCTTCTTTGGTTCTTTCGGTAAAGTCACATAGAATGAGAATAAAATAATAAATTGATAAAATAACACAATAATATTCTCCCGACGTTTCAGCCACAACACAAGCGGCCTTCATCAGGTGAAGGGACTCCAGCGCTGTCCTCCAGACAGTCTCGTCCTTTCACCTGATGAAGGCCGCTTGTGTTGTGGCCGAAACGTTGTGAGAATATTGTGTTATTTTATTTTATCAATTTATTATTTTATTCTCATTCTACGTGACTTTACCGAAAGAACCAAAGAAGATGAATCCTTGCAGTCACGAAAGCTTTAAATCGAAATTTACCTTAAATTATGTTGATGCTGCGCATCATCACATTATCTCATCACTTTCTCGCATAAAATTCTCTCTCATCACTTGATTTCTCTCTCTGGGTGCATTCGTGTAGTCGCGGATAGCCAAAATTTCGGATAGGAAATTCGTGAATAATGAGGGAATACTGTAATAAAATTAGTGTAGTGTTTCTGGGAATCAACTTCCAAGTGGCTGCTTTATCCACGTATCAACACAGATAATAAGAATCCATCTCTGTCTAACAAGAGTCTCCGTAGATCAATTGTGGCTATGAGTAATAGGTATAGGGCAGTATAGGTCTGTGGATTATAGGAGGTTCACTGTGTGAGTATTATCAAATTTATAAAAATGTAATATTGATAATATAAAGTAATTTCACTGCCGATTGAAGGATTTCATTGACTGCTAGATGAGGCCTCTCCATGCTGTGTTGGTCATTTTATTTTACCATACTTCACCATTCTGGTTAGTGTGGTTTAGTGGAGGGAGGTGGGCTAAGACCAGTTCAGATATCGCTCGCCACAGAGCTAACCATGACTGGGAATCGAACTCGGGTAGCCTGGTTTATAGCTGGATACGTTATCTGCCTCTTTTCCATATTGGACGAAATGCAATTGTAACGAGCAATAAAAATGCTGGAGAAGGAGAGAAAATGTACTCTTAAGCCTACCAAGTAACTTTGCAGTCATGTAGCTTCATACTGAGCTAATTGAGAAGCGAGTAATCGGTTTTTATTTCGCGTGATGGTAAAAAATACCAAACGAGAATTTCACGTGTGGAAAAAATCAATTGTATAATGTAATAATGGTTGCTCATACGTTTTTCTGTTGTCTCCCTCCAAAAAGAGTTTATGGATTTCAGTCAGCTGTCACCAGCCTAAATGATAATATTGTCTTACCTAGGAAAGCTTCACTTCAGTCTCATGACTTTTTCAGGAGGGTCCTACATCAGTATGTATTTCGCCTGTTCAATTCAATTAGTGTTTGATGTGGGAGGAAACTGGAGCACCTGAGAAAAATAAAAACCCACACATACGAGGGGGTAACTCTCTTAATTGCCGTACTGCTGTCTTGCAGCTGTCTCGCGGCCATGCAGGCACCATTAAATCTGTACGGCTGCTTACACAAGCCACTATACCGACACGTAAAAAACAAAAAACACTAGCGCGCTACTGAATCGCAACGCTCATTGCTGCCGACGATTGCTTACCTGGGCATTGCCGGCGCCACCCCTGGCCTCGTTGGCGATGCGACGCAGCTGGTGCCGCACTTGCAGGAAGATGCGCGCGTAGATGACGAACATGATGATCAGAGGCGTGAGCACGCAGCCAAAGAAGTTGAAGTACACCATGTAGTTCATATCAACGACGGCCACGAAGTAGCAGTAGCTGTCGCTGGGCGAACCCTTGTGCCAGCCCATGGCCGGCACCAGGCCGATGAGGAAGGCCATGAGCCAGGTGAGCACGATGGTGATTAGAGCGTTGCGGTGCGTCATTATCACCTACGGGAGGAAGAAGGCGAAGGGTGGCGGTTGTGCAAGATGAGACAGCGCGCGTGGTCATATGTAAACGTGGAGGAGCCGTCTTTTAAGCAGCCGTCGTCGTCTAGAAATTATTTGTATTTTCCTGTTTGGTTATTTCCAAAGCATTCCGTAATGTTTGCCTGGTGCTGATTTGATTGCTTACATTTTTAGCACTGCGTGGGGTTCCCAAAGCACGTTTGTGCTGTACAGCAGACGGTAACAACCCTGGAAAATCGTTCGCAAGGGTTACCCATAGCATGCTGGTGTTATAACACTCATTCCAAAATTTTCTCGTAAATTTTTTTACTGCGGCTACTGCTGCTTATCAACTGAAACGGAGATTATAAATGCCGATGAGCTCACACACCCTGTTAACCCTTGCCCATTCCGAGACGATAAGTTGCAGGGTGGGTCCCATTCACCGGTGAATCTCGGAACGCGCAAGCGGTTAGCGTTAATTTTATTTAGAGAGGCGTAGCGCCATTGTTTTTAAAGACGTACTCACCACAGAACTGTAGCAACATGACCACACTTTATTATAGCTGGCGCCAAACTGTGCCACATGCCCTTCACATGGCCTTGTGGGAGTCTCGGTACAGATTAAGTTATTTTATTTTTTCTTCTGATCAGTATCAGAAGAAAAAACTGATGACGTACATGTCCGACATCACGTACGTCATCAGAATGGGAAAGGGCTAACTGGCCACATGTTCTGTGATAAAATATTCCTTGATATGGAAAATAAGACTTGACGCCGACAATGCCGTTCGCTGCACGCTCACCTTGTATCGAAACGGGTTGAAAATAGCCACGTATCTATCGACGGCAACAGCCAGCAGGCTGAAGATGGAGCTCTGCGTGAGCATGATGAGCACAGACAGCATGAGCACGCACAGCAGGAAGTTGTGGCGCGGGAGGCCCAGGTCCGTCATGATGGCGCAGGGGATGGCGACAGCACCCACGCACACGTCCGCCACCGCCAGTGACACCAAGAAGTAGTTGGTGACCGTGCGTAGGTGGCGGTTCTTCATTACGGCGACGCACACCAGCAGGTTGCCGACCGACGACAGCAGTGCGATGACGAGCTCCAACAGGATATACGGCACATTGACAGAGACCTGGCTCGGGCTTGCCGCCTCGATCGGCAGCGTCGTGTTATTGGCGCTCATTTTTACTTCCCAGAGGGTTCTTGGCCACAAGCTGCACCTCACGCGGAGGGTCTTCTGACGGCGGTTCCTCACAGCCGAGTAGCCTTGCTCGTTTTACGGTTTTGAGCTGACGGCTGAGAACTCGTTCCTAGTCCGTGTTCGACTGTCACATAATTTGGTGAGTGTGGAAAATGCCGCTTCAGCGAGTTGACGCTTCCTCAGGGCAGCAAGATTCTGGAATCGAATCATCACTACCATTAATAATTCATATTAACATACGTGATGCTTGCATTAACATATGCACGTTTATTGCTCTTGTTTGACTTGTCATGGCTAGTAAGCACAGCTGAAGTGTTCCGGGCTTCTTACAGTGTTTGAGTCTTTACCATTCACGGTGTTTTTTCCCCCCACCCCCCCCTCCCCAAATGTTGAACTCTTGCGTTAGCAAAACGCGAGTGATGTGAGCCGTATTTGGTTGCCAGTGCTTATGTACCTTCGTGTTGCAGCGGTCACGTGGGTGATTGTTTGACTTGTGTTTCAGGCGTGTGCATGCCCGCCAGTGTTTGTGGAGGAGTGTCATCGCCATCCATCAGTAGCTCTTTTTACAGTGTCGGTGATCCTACATGCCAATATTGTTGTCCCTATGTCCAATTTCCTGCCCCCTCTTCTCACCTGCCTCCATGTGCTGTTAGTTTTCCATGTGTTGACTGCCAAGCCTGTTGACTGTTGCCTGCACCTGTGTCTTGCCTAGTTGGCTTGCAACGCAAACCAACTTCGGCTAATGCCACCAGAATGCTTCTGCCCCATCCACACCCTTGACTGGCATAGCATGGCATAAGTGAAGCTAGCGCACTCAACTCTCTTTTTATGATTATGTAAACAACTGCGTCTGTGTGGGGCACACACATGTATATAGTTCATGGCAGATGTAAAACCGGCAGTGACTTCTGCTTGACAGCGGTTTACCTACTTTTTCCAGAATTTCCATCCATGTTAACGTCCTGGGACAATTTCACAAATGTGCTACATCAGTGGCACTCGGAACGAACATATCCAGAGTATGAATGGGTTTTGATATTTATCTACAACAACGGGTATATTACATTTTGAAAAATGCTGAACTGATGGGCTCAACTGTGCTCATCTCCAGTTTACAGCTCTGCGCAAGTTGTGGAAATTCCACGTTCCTAGAATGGGGTCAAGGCTTCATGGAAGAAAACCGCCATTAACGTCCCACAAAGTGGCCCTCGATTTACTCTGGAGGGCTGATGAAGGGACAAGGCGAAGGCCTGAGTTTAGGTCCAGTGTGAAATGTGCGCGAATAGGTTCAACCGGTTTTCCATGTGACCAGTGTGAGATTGCACAGTGCTGCCCTAAAACGCACAGCAGAGATGGAGCCAGGTCCATTTCCCAGATTAAACAAACTAGACCCTGCGGTCAGGTACAAGGACAAAAGCGCAGGCAGAATAGGTGGGGATTATGGTGGGGTGGTTGTCCTTGCAATGACTGACATTTATTTATTTAACAAGCCAGGGTGCTGTTTGTGAAAACTTGAAACGTAAACTATTATCCTGTCTTGTGATGGTATACCACGATCGCGGCAACCCCAGAGCCGTGGTAAAGCCATGAAAGCTTCAAGCTCCAATTTTCGTGGCAAGAAGCACCCTGGATTGTAAAATATCATTCAGCCTCTTGCAAGTTGATGATTTGTCACGATTTGGAGTAGATTTGTTAGCGCAAGTGCTGTTGATGAATGCCGACTAATACTGGCTTGGCACAGCTTTTTGTACGTGCGAAGTGCCAACTCTTACTTTCAGCAGTTATTTACTGTCGGATGAAGGTCTCTCGGCCATGCGGGTCGCCATCCCTCGTGTTTCTGAGATATCATCCATTGCGTTCCTGCAGAGGAGCTGATCTCATTGCTCCATGTACAGAGTGGTCGTTTCAACGGACGCCTTCTTTCCTTTGTCTGCCATTCCACCACCTATCTCACCCCACAAGCCATCGTTCTTTTTAGCGGCATGTGCTGCCCGAGGCGACCTTTCATGGACGGCCATTATGGTGTCTCCGAAGTGCATTTGGCATTGCATATAATTGCCTTTCATTGTGTTCGCAGTGCCTCTGTGCAACTTTAATATTGGAAGCAGTGAATTAAAAAATCCCTGAGCTTCCCCTGAGGCCTTTTTAAGCCGGGCATATGTTTTTTTCTGCACAGTATGACATATTTGCAGTTGTCTTAGAATCTAATTAACAGTTGTTAGCTTTATTATTAACTTAGCACTCCCACACCCCATGGTGCCTCTAAATGTTATGGTAACCCGAGATTCCCTTGCCTGCGGCTGTTGTGTTTATCCGTGTGTGCGTACGCTACCATATTCGGTGCACAGACACTCTGCGTGTATGTGGGTGTCTGTACAATATTATTTTGATATTTCTACGAGACACCCACAGATTTTGTGCCCCTGGTCAAATTTTAAACAGATGTTAAATATGGTTTGCCATTGCGATGTATAACGTGGCCACAGTAATTAATGACTGCTATTTTGCTCTTGTGAGTATGGAAACACTGCTTGCAGCCCTGAACCAGTGGTGGAAATTGCACATTGCTATGGCAGAGATGAGTCTCTCTGTAGAATTAACAATCGCATCAGATTCGGGGTAGCTGTGCAACTCTAACTTAACTTTTAACCACTGGGAAACATTCAACAGTTAGATGCTCCCAACTTCTCTATGTGGCTCTGCCGCTGTACCATATGCAGTGGACCCTAAGTGCAGAGCTCAGGGGGTGAGCTACGGTTGATTGACGTTTTTGCGAGTGTTGAGTACTTGTCAGTGTCTCAGGTGCTTTGGAGATCTACGTTACAAAAGCTTGCTTTAATTGCCATTAACACTGCCTTGTTGGGGGCTGGGGGACACGTGGCCCTCATGCTGAGTAGACACAGGTAATGTTGGAGATCACACTTGAAATTTAGATTTCATTTTAAGTTAAAATTATCAGATGCAATTGAAGAACTGCATCATGGGAAAGCCAATAATGTTGTTGAGTGGTGGTGAAGTGCCCTTTGTTAAGTTATCCACTGGGTGAAGTCTTACCCACTGAAAATGTATTTTTTGCCAAGCTTGCAGAGAGTTTATTACATACATGGCTGGCGATTAGAATGTGTGTGTTTTTTTAACACGTAGGCTTTCGCGAGCAGTATTATTCATAATAAAGGTTTTTGGGTTAGATCGCGTTATTTATAAATGTGTCGCAACCCTCCACCACCCGACACGGCCAATCAGTAAGAAGAAGTAACTAATTGGCGTTTTGTTAACTTGACACATTTCTTACTGATTGGCCGTGTTGGGTGGTGGAGGGTTGAGACATTTATATTTACGCGATCTAACCCAAGAACCTGTAATATGAAGAATGTGTTTTTGTTGGCTTATGTGGTTGAACTGCTGGGATGTTAATTAGTGGCTGTTATTTCAATGAGTTGTTTGCTTAAGCTATTGATAATCTCTGTGATTATATGACTAAAATGTTGCAAAGTGTACATTTGACAATTTACCAGCGGTCATTGCATTCCCACGTCACAAGTAACATCTTTTAAATTAACCACGACTAAATTGTGGGGAAAAAAGGTCAATGTCCACACATTTCCACAAAACATGAGGTTTACTCTTGAAACGAAACCGTGAATCTCAGTCGTTTATCACCTGGTTAAATATGGGACGTTGACTAGAAGAGCTCAGCCTTGTTTTTTTGTTATTTATATTTCTGTTCTGAGTTACGATGGCTGACAAAGAACATCCCGGCGGATGGCACTGACAGTTGTTTACCTTGGTGCAGGCCTGGTCCCTTCCTCGAGATGTGCCGGGCGTGGTGCTGCCTTTTCTTATCACCGTTTAAGTTTCACTGGTACCGCCAACACAGCCGACACCACCGTGTCACTGCCAGCGAAGAGAGCGTTAACTCCTCGGCTCCCAGAATTCCTCTGTGCGGGGGTGGCCGTGTGGTTGCGACTTTGAGTTGTCGCTTCCACCATCGTGGACACACGATGGCGATTGCCGGCGACACGCGAATGGGCCAGGGTCGCCCTAATTGTGCCACTCGGGATGAGCTTCGGCGACACGGGGGTTTTGACCAAAGTTGTTGAGTGGTGTTGGGTGGGGAAAAAACACCACTGCTAATTATTTTAACATAATCCCTTCTGACAGCACGGACCTCCCTAATTTTCAGTCTGCGATATGCACATGAGGTGTGGAGATGAATTCCCAGAGACAAGCCATGCTTACGAGGCGACGACATACAAAACAACCCGGCATGAATAGGTCCGCAACCTTATTGATGTACTGCTTAATAGAGGCACCTTGCTGCCTAGCAAGCAGATGTCACACTCATGTGATGGCTCCATGTCAACAAATGTGCACATTTGAAAGGAAGCAAGATACAAATTCGACTGGTTTGAGCACAGAGGAGGGTTAAGTGTTAACAGCAAATGGCGGTTGCATGTCTAGTGTCTGCCTTCAAGTCCTGGAGAAATCAGTTGTATTTCCTTCTCAGAGGCAAAACACTTCAACTGTTTTCAAATCGTTCCATGCACCCAAAGGGGCCATTGGGTCTCTCAGGAAATGTTTATCCTTGGAGGGCTCTTGCATGATCCTAAATAAAATTATTTAATTAGCTCATTCTTTTAGCTTTCAGCCTTCAATGAGTTCTTTGAATTGTATTTGCGTGGCGGTGAAGTTAAAGTGATGCTGTTATAAATGCCCAATTCTTTAAGTGCCAATGCCTGATATAGGATCCATGCAGGAGCACCACTCCCTGCCTTCTGTTATTTAGAGCAAGAACGTTAACAGTTGCGGAGGCTTAGGCCTCTCTTAAAAACAAGAGACTTGTCTCAGTCAATTGTTACCGAGTAAAATGAAGGCAAGTGACTCATTATTCTCACTTTGTCTTGCAACATTATGCTTTGATGTTACATAGTGGTATAGAGTCCACATTCCAAAGTCTTATCCTTATTGCCCAAAATCATGTCAACTATACTTTAGCTTGGAAAATCATATTTGCACAAGTGCCAGGGTGTTGCTACAGCATTCAACAATTCCCTTAGCATAAGTGCAACGTGTATTAGTATCGATTCTTGAACAAAAAATACATGCAATAAATTGCGTGTGTAAGAATTGATGTTTTTCAATCTTCTATACATTGTATGTTATGCCCTCCCTTGACCCCTACAGCCAGTAGTTGCTGCAACATTCATCACGGTGTAAAAAAATAATCAATTCGATATCGAGTTGTGGCCTTGGATTTCCGGAGTCAATCTTTACATGTCCAAAATATACAGTAAATAAAATTAATGTGGAACTTGTTGCCTTCTTGCAGAAAACGTAAAGCAGAGGACCAGGTAGATGAGGTGGCCAAGAAGATCAAGTTGGAGTCCATGCAACAGAAGGAAGAGGAAGAGAAGATGCTAAAGGTGGGCATGTTCTTGTCTGTACGTACGCATGGCTCCTTCCGTATGTGTGCATCGGTGCTTTCCCAGTTGCCTCGCCGTATGTTTGTGTGCCCTGTTTGTACGTACGTCAGTGCATTTCTATGTGGATGTGGGTGTGTGTGGTTGGGTGTGTGGCTGTGCTTGGTGTTGTGGAGCAGTCTTCCGTCGTTAGCACACTGAAGTATGAAGCTGGTGACCTGGTTTCACTTCCCAGACACGGATAACACCAGCGGAAAGTCAAAACCAGTCGTTAGGCCTCCCCTCTGTTGATTCAGCTGTAAATTAGTATCTGATACTGTGTCTTAAAAATTAGTACTTGGGCAGGCAGAGGTGGTTTTGCACCACACCACTACCCATTGTGCGTTGTGCTGCACTTGCCACAGCAGTTTTTATGGCTATACGTGGAATGTGTCTTTTTTTGTGTATGGGCGGTTAACGACGTGTTTGCCAGCTGTGCTATGATCCCGGTGACTCGGGTGTAATTCGCATTTGTATTGAAGTAACGCCAGTGGCAATTGTTAACTCAACCTAGGCTGGCCTGCGGCTAGATTGACTCAGGCTAAAATGAGTGCTAGGTGCAATGTGTCAACAATCACTGGGGACGTCGGCACAAACACAGACCACGGCACACCCACTCCATGCTGTGCACCAGGTGTAATAGAAATTCGCCAACAGCACTTGCTCCAACAGTCTCTAGCATTGAGTCAGGGCATCTGTGCGATTGCTTTATTAAAGTAACTCGCCATAACTGAGATTGTGTGCATTTTTATTGCAAACTTAGTTTGACTTGTTTTTAAAATACAAAATCAACGAGGATTCTCGATGCAATGTGATGATTTTTGTTGTCTTGAAGCATTGTGTGTTCGTGTGAAAATCTATGTATATTTGTATGCCGCTTGCCTCTGTTTATGAAAATCAGTGGGAGGTTCAATAACATTTTGAGGAGGCAGCTCCAACAGTTTTAATTTATTTCAAACCAACCATGGGAATCCATAATACAGATTTTTTGGGTTTAATCGCATAAATATATAAATGTCGTTAAACCCGCCACCACCCGACACAGCCAATTAGTAAGGTTTGTCACATAAACAGAACATGGCAATTCGTTCCTAGTACAGCACACCGATGTGTTGGAGAGCAAAGCCACAACATTTACAATCCGAGTACGACGTTTCGCCAGTAATTACAACTAGCTTCATCAGGCGACAGCCAGATTTATGGAGAAATCCTGTGGAAATAACCCAGCCGTGGGAAACTTTTCTTTACTGATGTCCAAAGAGGACTTTGAATTACCTATGACAAGCCATACATCAATACTCTCACCTCGGTCACTTTTGTCACCGCGAGTGGTCCTGCAGTGACTGAGCACGCTAAAATGGGAAACACATTGTTACCAGGTCGCAAATATTCCCCTCTGGTACCCGATTAGTGCAGCTAAGATGCTTTCGGTGAAAAATGAATGTCGTTTTGAAGTCGCTTGGCTGCGGGCCGTATGAAATGTCACGGGCCGGATGTGACTCAGCTGCTCTAGGTTCTTCAACCCTGCTCTTTCCCATGCCACGGTTCTGCCTGAAATTGCAACGGCCGCAAGTGTGGCAGCTTTTCATCCTTGACGGCAGAGCCTATTCACAACGCTGAATTCGCTGCGGTGTTGGTCCTGAGCATCGGTGCCCCCCCCACCTTCACCTTCCCCAGCCGCCTCATCACCTTCCGCCCTTCCCTTGCGGCCGTAATTGGCGGGACCGAGATTATCCCGAGCCATCTAGAACGCACAAATGAGGCGCGGCGTCCCTTAATCCAGCTCGTTAGTTGCATGTGGCTGCGGTGGTGGATGTAGCTGGAGGGCCCCACAGTGCAGGTAATTAATGCGCCGGTTTGCGGGGAAGGTGGCTGCGTTATTAATAGGCTCCCCCACGGTGAATGTGCACGTCGTTTAAATAACACCCCCTGTGCAAGGCCTTGTTTGCAGAAAGAGGTGTCAAGCGTACGGTCACAGCTGTTTTGACGCGTGCCCATTAAGTGCAATGAATGTGTGGAATTCCAATTGTTTATTTAATTAGTAGAGCCAAATAATGAGGTTGCTTTCATGATTGCCAAATGGGAGTTGAAAATAAATTCGTTGTCATACGGCTCGTCTTATACCTTCATATCATTGGTTGTACACACATCACCTGTCTTCTACATAGGTATCTCGTCTTGTACACGTAACCTCCTGCATTGCACATACATATCTCATATTGTACACAAGTAACCTGTATTGTACATACGTATCTTGATTGTGTGTCCTAGCTTTTCGAATGTGGCTTTGAGGCTTCCTTGACGAGGAAAAAAAAACAGGGTTTAGGTGCGCTCTGCTGATTTCACTGTTGCATCACTCTCGTACTTTTTAATAGAACACCACTGCAGTGGTTTGACTAGAATGTTCCCAAAATATGTTTTTTTCATTATCAAACCTTCACATGGAATCTACAAGATAATCTCTATAATTTCAACAATATATATTATTTCCTCTTAAGTGCATATTGCCTGTTCATGCCCCAACAGAAGCAGAGCAATGTTATCTGGAGCTTCAAGGATGGCCTGAAGAGCTGCAGCGATGAGATTGACCTCAAGGAGCTGCTGATTGCCAACAAACAGGCCGTGCCATCTGGCGAGTCTGCGGTAAGGCTTGCGGCGATGGCCCCGAAGTAAGAAATTCAACAGCTGATCTGAAAATCGGCGAACCACAGAATAAGTTTTGAAGGACCGCAGGTTGTAAGGAGAAATGTAATGTTTGGGGGATAAGGTTAGGATTATGGCCAATAAGATTTTACTGATGGACCACGCCATTTTTGCAGAGAAGCAAGTGTTGGGCACGATTGAGCCTCCCTGTACAAATCAGGGTGGACACAGATGCTTTTTGTTTTGTTTATTACAACTCAACGCAAGCCCGGTACAATACGCCGATCACAAAACGGGGGTGGGGGGGTGAATAGAAACTCTGTGAAGAGCAACCTGATTTTGGCGCGACAGGACCCTATGTCGGGGGAAGAATTGGGTTCACTTCATCACCAAATTGGGGACCATGTGTGGGGGCATGAAGACTTATATCGAGGAGGGGTAAGGGGGAAGTTAACTAACATACTGGGGGAACAGGTGGAGGGGGGCAGATGACTTTGTTAATATTACACTTGACATTATGATGATGCCATATATCCAGGAACATCCCACCAATACTCTTTCAAAAATATCCTGCATTGGGATCTTTGGCCATTGTGTTTTTTTTAAGAGGAGAAAACTTAAAAGCAGATGGCGGTGAGACCGTAAGAGCAGTCCTTGAAGGACGTATCAACTATGTAACAAGGGGGAGACTGAAAGCCAGATGTTGGTGCTCATGAGACTGTCAGAGCTGCTCTGAGATGTCCAGGATTGTCTTTATAACAGTTGCGAGATCTGGCAGAAGCAATTATAAGGCGTGATTGGATCAGCAGCTTTTGCTGTTGACCACTTAAGCATGTGAGTGTGGGATGCAATCCGTACTTGATTTCAGTTGTTAATGTATAAACAGGCTTTTGTTTGTCTTTCCATTCCCCTGTACGTTGCTACCAGGTGCTGGAGCGCCTGGCTGACGGGATGGCGTTCGGTGCGCTTCTGCCATGTGCAGAGTGTAAGGACGGGCAGCTCGTGTGCATGAGCGACGCTTACCGCTGCTCGGGGAACATCTCCGGCTGGACTAAGTGCACATTCAGCACAAAGACACCCAAGCGCAATGAGTGGATCATCCCAAAGGCAAAGCGGGGGGGGGAGGTGGGGGGGGGAGAATTGTTAGCACCGCGTCGTGCCATGGCTTTTACAGGGGTAGGATGTTCTCCGAGTGCTGAGAACGTGTGTTTTTAGGGAACGCATGGAATTGATTGTTACCGTTTCGCATTTTGCCGTTGTTTGGTTTAACTTGTATGTTTTGTAATTTTTGTGTTTTTAAAGCTGTGCTTGTATGCATTGCTTTTTAGTATTTGTGATGTTTATTTTTTTCACTCTCCAATTGTTTGATAGCGTTGGTGTGCATTGTTTTTAAAGCTTAATTTGTACACATTCCAACTAAATGCATTTTTTTATAAATCTCCCAGTCTCCCTTACAAAAGAGACTCCAGTCTCATTGAACCCTCATTTGGTGTTAAGTCTGCTTTGCCAGCTCCCCATCATTTCCCCATGTTCAGATCCAGGCTCAAGTCTTTCCTCTTCTCTTGCTGTGTATCTCTGAAATGTCATCATTTACAGCTGTACTACATATATGTCTATATACCTCCGATTAGCACGGCAGGTTAAGGTATGAAAGAAGTCCAGCATACAAACATGAGTCTCCGTTCCCTCTCTGCCCTATGTCATCCTACTACTCACCCTCTTGCCCACCAAAAACAACCTCTAAGAAATCCTTTCTTGTGCATCATCTAATGACGTGTTATCATTTTATACCCGTATCACTTCAAATTGTACAAACTGTAAAAGTCATTGATCAATTGATTCTACGTCCGGCACCACTCTCTGGCTGCCCCCTTGTCATCACTGCCCTGCCTAGGAGTTCAAGGATGTGCCATTCCTGAAGAAGTATAAGTACAAGCAGCGCGAGCGCGTCTTCATGTCCGCCCAAGCTACTACCAGCCCGCCGCGTGCTGCCACCGTCGCCACTGCCACCGTCGCCACTGCTGCAACCAAAAGTGGAGAAGCCCCCGGAACCAGCGCTGGCGCAGTCCCAGGTAACTGGCAGAGGGTGGGTACCGGTCCACTGGTGTAGTGCCCTTTGTTTAAAGGAAGACGAAATCCAGATAAAAAGCGATCTGGTGCTATTTTATAGATACATTGCATGAGCTGTTTGTCCCGAGCTGTGTGACTTGACTTTGAAGTTTTGTTAATAGAAAGTTACGGCCACGTGACTCTCAGCAATACCGCTATGGTGCCTTCTGGTAGATGTCTGCCATGCTGGAATCCATTCACCTCCACAAAGTGAGAGCTGAGGGACCCTGGCTACTTTGATTCGATGAATTGTCACGATTTGGCATCACTATTCAGTAAGCAAATGATGACCTGGCTACGTTGGTTACAGTGCATTTAGCAGTAATAATGGCTCTGGAGGTCATGTAAATCAAATACATAGAGCGTTCGCAATTTAAGCGATTTTAACACAGAATTCAATTAATGTATCATGAGCATAAAAATAAATTTTAATCGATGACTCGATGCATCGTTAAATGTTAATGAAATACCTGTCGATTGTTTTGTGGTTTGCATCTTGTCTTTGAGTGTCTATATTTTTCGATATGTCTACAAATATCTTTGTGTCGGTCCCATGTCGTGTGTGGTCTCCAACGCGTGTTGTGTGCCCCCTGCCTGACTACTCTCGTTGCTCGCTGCCGCCGTTTTCCCATGGTGGGGGTGGGCGCAGGAAAATTATTGGCCGGCAAGGCGTTGTGCTTGGTGGGGAAGCTGCAGAAGAGCCGTGATGATATCAAGGCACTGGTGGAGAAACTGGGAGGCAAGATGACCAGCACGGTCCCCAAGGCCGATTTCTGCATCAGCACCAAGAGTAAGTGCTTTCCTCCTCGATGTGTGTCCAAAGAGTGATCACCCACGAGTGATCATGAGAGCAATCTTTGTTGAATGCCTTGAAACACTGGGCCACATTTTAGAGCAAACGACATCAAAAATTGTCACCACCAGCACCTGGGATTGCTCCCAGCATCTGCGAGCAACGACTATGACAACTTTGGTATATTCATGGCATAGGGTGATGGTGTTCTGTCGAGTCAATGAAAATGCAGTTAAAAACTATTTTTGAAGGACAATGATTGTTCTGCAAAGCACACAACACTGAGCAGCCATGTGATCTCTATCTTTGATGTGATTGGAAGTTGCCACCCGAGTTGTGCCCACTAGAGGGAGCGATCAGCTTTGGCTTGCTGTTCTTTGTTGTTGTTAGCATATTGTGCAACAATTGCTGATGAGGTTTTCCATCAAAAATTGCCCTAAAATGGCCCTCTTAATGTCGTGAAAGTCATGGGAGGGCATAGTTTGGTGAAGAGGTTATCACGACCAATGGCACTGATGGGTCCCACAGTTCTAGCAAATTCAACATCTATATTGAAATGATCACTGTTTATCATCATCACCACCACCACCACAATCTGGCTTTGTTTACCGTTCACCAATCTCTGTGTGCCCACTCAAGTTATCATCTTAGTAACCTGCCCTCCATTCTGGACCTGTGACAGTAAACACAATGCTGTTCATCGTACCTCTTCATATATTACACTTTTGCGTAACTTAAAGATCATGTAAGGTATGAAAAGGAACAACAACACAGGCAATGGGGGACCAACACCAGATGCAGTACATATCCATAGATGTCTTTGCTGTCATTGCACAATGCATTTGCATTCCATTTCCTGATTGTCCACTTTCCACTATTATGAGTTCCTATTGGGCACAAGTCGTCATCAACTCTACATCCTCCTTCGCGCACTCCCTTCTCTTCTCCTTCCCCTACCGTGCAGAGGAGGTGGAGAAGATGTCAAAGAAGATTGCGGAGGCTCAGACGTGCAACGTATGCGTGGTGGCGGAGGATCTGCTCACAGAGGCCTCGGGGCGGCCCTTGGCTGAGCTGGTGTCGGCGCACCGCCTGTCGACCTGGGGGGCGCCAATAAAGGTTGAGCAGGAGCCAACGGTGAAGACCGAGCCAGTGCTGGAGGTTCCCAAGGAGGCGTCGGCTAAGAGCAGCAAACGAAAGTCGGAGGGTATGCGCCGTCGCACGTGGGGCAGAATGATGATGGCGAATGCTGGTTGCTCAGGCCCTGTTTGTGGTTTAGGTCCGAGCAGGCTTGAAGGATGGCGCGAAGACATGCTCAAACATTAATTTGCGGAACCTTACTGAAATATTGAATCTTCAAATCGATGCTTTCATGGATAAAAAAGGCTATTAATACGTGACATAGGTTTAATAGCTCAATTAATAGATCACATACGCGTAATTCACTATGCTGAATGTTGGAGAAACCTTGCATTTTGTTAACTGTCGTGTAATATATGAACCTTATGACAGCACCCCAGGGTACCATAGTACCCCGGCTCTCGCAGTTTGTCCGTGATGCAGTAATTTTTAGTCTGTTGATGATCGGCGATGCGGCAATCGACTCATCTCGACGAGCTGGACACGATGCACCACTACGGTGCGTACCGCGAGCGTTCGGGGTTTCGGCGCAATCGTCCTCGCTGCATTTTGACATCACGGAGTAACACTGATTTCGGATTGATTGGTACCCCAGTCGCGGAGTTAAGTACACCCCTGGAAAAAAAATAGTGTCCCAGAAATAAAATATTTTATTGCCACAGCTATTTTGTATTATTTGGTACCCCGGGGTACAGCCATAAGGATGATATTGTGGAAGTACATTTCTGCTCGTGTGTATTTACTTGTGAATGTGTGGTGTGTGTGTGTACACCTGTGTGCTTGTATAGGTCAGAAGGCCGAGGCGAATAAGCTGAAGCTGACTGTGAAGGGTCGTGCTGCCGTGGACCCCTTGTCTAGTGAGCCAAACACTAATCTACAACACTTAAATTGTCTTCATACCAATAGGTTTTGTTGGTGACATATATGCGTTGCCGTGTGATGTGAAATGAAATGCACGTCCTCCCCCCCTCTCACCGGCACACCGGGGGCCAAGATTGGACCCACTCATGTTGGAGTTATTGCTTCCCCTTTCCCCCGGGCCGTAGATTTGGTGGATGTGGCCCACGTGCTGGAGGATCGTGGCATGATCTACGGCGCCGCTATGAGTCTGGTGGATGTTGAGAGGGGAACCAACTCGTACTACAAGCTGCAGCTGCTGGAGTGTGACCTCAATCGAAAGTGAGCGTCAGATGCACGCGCGTGCCAGAGCAGGCCAAGACAGGCCATCCTCGGCTATGCCATATGAAGGGAACGCAAACCCTGGGTAAAGTAACCGGCCAACCAAGTGGCCTGGTGGCTTGCACGTCCAAATCTAGTGTTAGAACATGCAGCATGTGCTGATGAGCAAAGCACTCTTTGAAGGAATATGTTTAGTTCAGTGTGAAACAATGCAAGGCGGAGAGGTGGTTAATGGGGTTAATTCTGTTTAACAGCATTCTGCAAGCACTGCTGAAATTCTCGATTCGAATCTGGATTTCATGCAGCTGAAATTAAGTGGAGTGGAGTTGATGGTTTCAGCCTGGTCACCAATTTACCAATGAAAAAAATATGTATTTAAAAAAAATCATGTCAGCATTTTCCATCTTTCAGGATTTAACACTCAGGTTCTCATATCACAAATATTCTTTGGAGGACATTTTATATATATATTTAAGCGATTCTCGAAGTAATTTTCTGATATAATCTTCTCGAGCAGTTTTTGGACACTCGAAATACTGTGCCTCCTGACGAAATAATCTCGGTATCACAATTGTAATATAAAAGTGTATAGAGGAAAGTAACAAGGAACATTTTATATATATGTAGTGACTGACTCAGAGACACTAAGAGTAGGAGGCACTCTATTTATTAAACGGCCTTTACAGTTCACACTTGGTAACTACGGTTCCCAGTCAGGACAGCTGGCAGACTGCCTGACTGGCGACGCCGAGATGGTGAAGACGGAGACGACGGCAAAGACTCCAGCAGCACGACGGGGATCCCACTCCACACGACAGCCCCGAGGGCCCCTCCCAGGGCCCCTCTTATATTGTCAGCGTGGCCTGGCTCCGCCCTGGCCACGCCCCCCTTCTGGAATCTACTAGCGGGTTCTCGATGTGCCCCTTCCGTAACCTTTCCCCTAGATCCCTCTCCGGTCTATCACGTGACCTGTTGTCAGTCAGGGCTGCTGTGAGCTGCAGATCCCCTTCCCTGCCAGCAGCCAGCGCTATGCTGCTACGTTACCGATTCTATGTCACTACATACATACAAGAAAGTGTGAATTCACAACTCCCCTCCCTTGCAGATACTGGGTGTTTCGCTCATGGGGCCGCTTGGGCACGACGATCGGTGGCACCAAGCTGGAGAAGATGAAGAGCCGTGAAGACGCGGTGGAGCACTTCTGCCAGCTCTACTACGACAAGACCGGCAACAAATGGAACGCCCGCAACTTCGTCAAGTACCCCAACAAGTTCTACCCGGTGGAGACGGACTACGGGCAGGTACGGTGGTGCTTGCTTGCGGTATCCAACACTGTATGTGCGATGGTTTGTGAACTGCGCGCGTTTGTGAAGATCCGCAGAGGGCTGTGAGGTGACGAGACGATGGCAGTTACAGTAAAATGAGCTGTGAACCCATCTGTGCATTCGTCCCTCTTATGCATTTGGTTTTCTCTGGGTAGCCACATTTCATCCCACATTCAGTTCGATCAATGAGGTCGCCTCATTTTTCGAATTGGCCAAATATCCAAATGCAGATAAAGGTACAGCACTAGGCATTTTCTTGCTCACGCCACTTTGCGAAATGGTCTCGACTAGATGGCTCCTCGAAGAGGGTATTTGGCCTACTCCTCCACGCTGGCCAGATGTCTTGGAAGAGGTGGGAGTACTTTACCCCACCACACATGACCTGCCGATTGACTAACTATATACTGCTATTCATAATAAAGGTTCTTGGGTTAGATCGCGTTTATTTATAAATGTGTCGTAACCCTCCACCACCCGACACGGCCAATCAGCAAAAAAAAAAAAGTGTCACGTTGACAAAGACAAATAATTCACTACTTCAGCCCACCGGTGTGTTGAAGAGTTAATCCACATTTACAGTTTGAGTACGACGTTTCGCTGGTAAATACTTCCAGCATCATCGGGCAAATCGCCAGAATGGTAAAGCCCTCGCTTGCTCCCGGTTTTATATAGGGCAGCAGGGTGACGTCATCACTTAACTCATCAGGTGCAGTGATTAGAGGCGGAGGGGGGGGGTGTAATGTAATTATATAATCGATTAGTAATCAGTCATTGGTTATGATTAGTAATGAGTTGTAGATTAGTAATTCTTTAAATCAAAATGTAATGTGTATTATTTAATAATACGCTTCCAGGCTGCACTAAGCCGGTAGCTGTCAGAGCGATTAAAGTTATTCTTGTTCCTCTCAATTTCAATGGATTCTCTAATTAGTCTTTGCCAGTAATAATTAGTTTTACACACCACTGCAACATTGTCAAAATCAATTGAGTGTCCTTGTTGACAAGCATGTTCTGCCACTGCCGACAGTTGTGTTTGAGATAATTTAATATTTCTCTGATGTTCTTTTAGTCTTACGCTGATGTTACGTCCCGTCTGCCCAATGTAGCAGCTGCCACATGAACAATTAATCCGATATACACCTTCTGTTGATAGTTTAGGTAATGCGTCTTTAGTGCAAGATACTAGTTTTTGAATTTTGTGTACTGTACCAAATCTTACTGTAATGTTTTGCTTTTGCAAAACACGGGCTAATTTGTCAGTTACTCCTGAGATATATGGAATTTTTATTGTTTTAACAATCTGGTCGCTTTCAGTAGTATTGCTTTGCGATCGTGATTTGGCATTCAGTGCTCTGTTAATTTGAGCATTATTGTAGCCATTCTGTCGTAGTGCGTCTTTAACGTGTTTAATCTCTCTCACTAGACTCTCACCATCTGACACTGTTTTCGCCCGATGTACGAGCGTCTTGATAAGAGAGGATTTTTGAGCTGGATGGTGATGTGATTCTGCATTCAGATAGGCATCAGTGTGCGTTTGCTTTCTGTAAACGCTGTGTGTTATTTTACCGTTTAGGCCATGTCCAAGCAAAATATCTAGGAATGGGAGTGTGTTATTCACCTCCATTTCCATGGTGAACTGGATGGCCGGGTTTTGTGCATTGAGATGATTTAGAAAATCATTAAGTGTATCTTTACCATGTGGCCAGACAACCAAAGTGTCATCCACATACCTAAACCAAAAGGATGGTTTTAATGTGCTCGAGGCAAGTGCTCTTATTTCAAAGTTTTCCATGTACAAATTTGCTATAGCAGGGGATAAAGGAGAACCCATTGCTGCTCCTTCCTTTTGTTTAAAGAAATCCCCTCTCCATAAGAAGTAAGTGTTATTTAAACAATGGCCAGCAAGTTTCGGAATATCTTTTTGTAAACCGGTATTCTTTACTAGTGTATCAAGTAATTTAAGCGATTCGTCCACTGGAACCTTAGTGAATAGAGAAATCACATCAAAACTTACCAGAATATCATCAGGAGTAAGTTTAATATCTTTAATCACATTCACAAGATGTTCTGATTTTTTTATGAATGAAGATGTCTTACCGATGTAGGGCTGTATTTGTTTGGTTATATATTTTGCTAATTGGTATGTGGCAGAGCCAATTGTACTGACTATGGGTCGTAATGGGATGCCGATTTTATGGATCTTTGGTAGTCCATAGAGTCTAGGTGGTTTTGAGGCCCTTGGCTTAATTAGGTATTGCTCATTTTTAGGGATTAATGAATTTGCAATTATTGCAGTGGTCTTACGTTCTAAAGTATTAGTGGGATCTCGTTTAATTTTAATGTAGGTACTTTCCTCTAGTAAATTTCTAATTTTATTATCATAATCGGCTCGTGACATCACTACAGTAGTGCGGCCTTTATCAGCTGCTAGGATTTGGATATCCTTATTTACACGCAGCTCTCTTAAGGCTTTTGCCTCGTTAGAGGCAAAAGCCTTAAGAGAGCTGCGTGTAAATAAGGATATCCAAATCCTAGCAGCTGATAAAGGCCGCACTACTGTAGTGATGTCACGAGCCGATTATGATAATAAAATTAGAAATTTACTAGAGGAAAGTACCTACATTAAAATTAAACGAGATCCAACTAATACTTTAGAACGTAAGACCACTGCAATAATTGCAAATTCATTAATCCCTAAAAATGAGCAATACCTAATTAAGCCAAGGGCCTCAAAACCACCTAGACTCTATGGACTACCAAAGATCCATAAAATCGGCATCCCATTACGACCCATAGTCAGTACAATTGGCTCTGCCACATACCAATTAGCAAAATATATAACCAAACAAATACAGCCCTACATCGGTAAGACATCTTCATTCATAAAAAATTCAGAACATCTTGTGAATGTGATTAAAGATATTAAACTTACTCCTGATGATATTCTGGTAAGTTTTGATGTGATTTCTCTATTCACTAAGGTTCCAGTGGACGAATCGCTTAAATTACTTGATACACTAGTAAAGAATACCGGTTTACAAAAAGATATTCCGAAACTTGCTGGCCATTGTTTAAATAACACTTACTTCTTATGGAGAGGGGATTTCTTTAAACAAAAGGAAGGAGCAGCAATGGGTTCTCCTTTATCCCCTGCTATAGCAAATTTGTACATGGAAAACTTTGAAATAAGAGCACTTGCCTCGAGCACATTAAAACCATCCTTTTGGTTTAGGTATGTGGATGACACTTTGGTTGTCTGGCCACATGGTAAAGATACACTTAATGATTTTCTAAATCATCTCAATGCACAAAACCCGGCCATCCAGTTCACCATGGAAATGGAGGTGAATAACACACTCCCATTCCTAGATATTTTGCTTGGACATGGCCTAAACGGTAAAATAACACACAGCGTTTACAGAAAGCAAACGCACACTGATGCCTATCTGAATGCAGAATCACATCACCATCCAGCTCAAAAATCCTCTCTTATCAAGACGCTCGTACATCGGGCGAAAACAGTGTCAGATGGTGAGAGTCTAGTGAGAGAGATTAACCACGTTAAAGACGCACTACGACAGAATGGCTACAATAATGCTCAAATTAACAGAGCACTGAATGCCAAATCACGATCGCAAAGCAATACTACTGAAAGCGACCAGATTGTTAAAACAATAAAAATTCCATATATCTCAGGAGTAACTGACAAATTAGCCCGTGTTTTGCAAAAGCAAAACATTACAGTAAGATTTGGTACAGTACACAAAATTCAAAAACTAGTATCTTGCACTAAAGACGCATTACCTAAACTATCAACAGAAGGTGTATATCGGATTAATTGTTCATGTGGCAGCTGCTACATTGGGCAGACGGGACGTAACATCAGCGTAAGACTAAAAGAACATCAGAGAAATATTAAATTATCTCAAACACAACTGTCGGCAGTGGCAGAACATGCTTGTCAACAAGGACACTCAATTGATTTTGACAATGTTGCAGTGGTGTGTAAAACTAATTATTACTGGCAAAGACTAATTAGAGAATCCATTGAAATTGAGAGGAACAAGAATAACTTTAATCGCTCTGACAGCTACCGGCTTAGTGCAGCCTGGAAGCGTATTATTAAATAATACACATTACATTTTGATTTAAAGAATTACTAATCTACAACTCATTACTAATCATAACCAATGACTGATTACTAATCGATTATATAATTACATTACACCCCCCCCTCCGCCTCTAATCACTGCACCTGATGAGTTAAGTGATGACATCACCCTGCTGCCCTATATAAAACCGGGAGCAAGCGAGGGCTTTACCATTCTGGCGATTTGCCCGATGATGCTGGAAGTATTTACCAGCGAAACGTCGTACTCAAACTGTAAATGTGGATTAACTCTTCAACACACCGGTGGGCTGAAGTAGTGAATTATTTGTCTTTGTCAACGTGACACTTTTTTTTTTGCTGATTGGCCGTGTCGGGTGGTGGAGGGTTACGACACATTTATAAATAAACGCGATCTAACCCAAGAACCTTTATTATGAATAATATTGGTCGCGAAAGCCTACGTGTTATATACTGCTATGTGGACAGAGGCGGGAGGGATTTTAATAACACTGCCGTGTCGGGAAATGGAATTTAAATTTGACTTCTGAAAAAGAAACTTGAGATTCAGGTAAGGCTTTTCCAGATAAGTAAATGACATTCGTTGTATTGTGTTCTCACGTGGGCTCACTCCACTCGATAAAGTGCCTCTGTTTGGATCAGGTTGTTTCGGGAGTGCAGCTCGTGTGACCGCTCACGAGTTCACCTCTGGGCATGCCTGCTTGCAGGATGATGAGGACATTCATGATCTGAAGGCCATGGCGGGTACCAACTCGAAGCTGGCAAAGCCGATTCAGGAACTGCTGCGTATGATCTTCGACATAGACAGCATGAAGAGGACCATGGTAGAGTTCGAGGTGGGTTGAAGCCACGGATCATGTGTTTGCTTTCCCTAAGACCCCACCGTTTGCTTGTTAGAAGTGATTGGGTGTGCCTGCTGTTGGTGGTGGTTCATTACTTCATGTTGTCGGATCTTCCCCGCAGATCGATCTCTGCAAGATGCCTCTTGGAAAGCTGAGCAGGAAGCAGATCCAGAGCGCCTACAGCGTGCTGGGGGATGCACAGAAGGTGCGTGTACAATATAATGGACTTAAAGGAGCGTGGATCATGCAGGGCTGCCATGTCCTTTGCTCACATATTCACATAGCACTATCTATTATTGTTGAGGATGTGGTGAATGGCAAGGTGGCATATGTGACTTCGAGGTCAGAGCACTGAGCTGGCACCGCTAAGATTTTGGGTCTGAACCGTGCCCGATTAAAATTCGGTTAAATTTTGATTTAAAGCTTTCGTGACTGCAGTGATTCATTTTCTTGGTTCTTTCGGTAAAGTCACGTTGAAGGGAAACAATAAAATAATAAAATATATTTATTGTTTTATATATATTTTATTGTTTCCCTTCAACGTGACTTTACCGAAAGAACCAAGAATATAAAATTCGGTTCTCAAATGTCGTGCGTTTTAGGGGCCATCCATTTAGTCGGTATGCAAAAATCAACTTGACCCCTCCCCCCCTCCCTGTACGCACGCGTACTTTTTACACCCCCCCCCCCCACCTGCGTACGTATGCTTGACGCACCTCCCCCCCCGAATCCTATAGAATGGCCGATATTTGATCCACGCAGAAACGATCAAGGATTAATAATATTAATGTGTTTAAGCAAACAGATAGTCCACCGCTGGACTATCTAAATAATTTGAAGGCCAATGTAGACATTATTATCGAGGCTTCATCCTCCCCCCCGCGTTTTCTATGCGTAAGTACATTGTCAGTAGAACCCCCATACGCAAGCAAACGCATTTGGGTTAACCCCCCCTCCCCCCTCCATACGTACGTACTAAATGGATGGGCCATTATGGTTTCAGCCCAGTCACCAATGATCACACGAAACTACCCACCACGTAAAGTTCAGGCTTGCGGTTTGGATTAATTCCAGCTGTGAGAATTTAAAAAAATAATATCACTTTTACTGTCATGCCATTGTCTCATCTTACTGTGTCAAGGATAATACGCCAATGCTGTAACGTTATTTTCGTGGCCCCTTTTTCTGTCAGATCTCAAAATTAACGATTCATCTCAAGACATGATACCATCGCAAGAAATTACGCCGATACCACATTTTGCATGTAACATGCGTCGTGTATAACTACATAATTACATTGCAGCAAGACTGGATTTTATAAAGCAATTAAAATCGAGCAAGTTGTATTGTGTGTGTGTGCGCTGTTGTGAGAATATCAATGTGACTTGTTCAGGAGATTAAAACCTATTTGATGTGATGAAATTAAAAAGTGGTAAAATGCCTGCGGGACGGCCACACGTGAAACAAAAATCTGATTCATACAAATTGTTTGTGTAAACACGTGTTTTAAGGCTCGCTAATAGATGCCTAGGAAATATCTCAATTCTTATGTCTATCTGAGGACACTTCGCATGATGTCAGGAAAACTATAGAACCCCTAAACAAATATCTACAAAACGTAACACAGTTTACTAATCACAGTATCCATTGTTTGGGCAATATTTACAACAAATTGCTTTGACACTTTATTGCTGTGTATCAGTGTAATTGGCACAAGTTCGCCTGATGTAACGACTTGATACTTTTACATGCGAGGTTTCATGTTACTGTACCCACATTTCTTTATTACAATCGAGTCCTCCAGAAAAAAAGCAGAATCTCTTAGTGGATTAGCTTGCCAGATAATTTTTTTCACCCCCTCCGACTCCTGGCTGGCTTTTGTCTGCAGCTGGTGTCCGAGAGTGGCCTCACCTCGCTGATCCAGGACCTGTCCAACAAGTTCTACACCCTCATCCCGCACGACTTCGGCATGAAGAAGCCCACACTCCTGGACAACCTCGACTATATCAAGGCGGGTGTCTCGGACTTAATAAAAAAAACCCTCCCAATGTGTTCAACCCACATCACACCGTTGTGCTCGTTGTGCAAATAAATCCTAGCCGAGCCGTAAATGACGCTTGAGAGCTCATACGTTGAACACTCGTTCCTGACGATGATAGGTGTGCAAGACAGCAGTGTGTCATTGCGAGTAGGCATGTAACACTTCACCCTACCGTCACCCCCCCCTCTCCCACTTTGCCTGATTTGACGAATTATCACAATTCCGTTCAAGAACTAATCGTATTTTTTCATTTTTAAACTTCTAAATAATTACAATGCAAGAAACTGAGGCCTTGGGGCTAGTGGGTTGTATAGAATTAACATTTTTTTTTTATGTGGAGCAACAAATATATGAAGGAGACAGCCTTGATTATCTATTTTGTTATTGATTTGCTCCACAATGACGCGAATAATGATTTATAGCTGCATAGATAGCTATGCTGTACTCTGCACAATAGGTTCCGGTGGGAGCTTCAGCTCTGCCACCATAGCAATTTGTTTTGCCCTGGAACGTAATGGGGCTGCTCAACGTTGGGCTGCAATTTAGCCACGCAGCATTATAGGCTTCAACAGAAACTCCATGAATGCCCGTAGATAACATCATATATTGTTTTGGTAAGGTAAGCATAGATAGTGGCGTGTGCCCATCCATTTGTCCATCCGTCTGAACTTTGCTCTTCCATTTTTACAGATGAAGGTGGACATGCTCGACAACCTGATGGACATCGAAGTGGCATACAGCCTCCTGAACCCCAAGGACGAGACGTCGGGTGGCAAGAAAGATTTGCTGGATGCAAGCTACGAAAAACTGCACACCACTATAGAGGTAGTGCCTACACGTTCGTGTGTGCGTGTGTGGGGGTGCACTGTCCTGTGATCCCAGATATCTTGATTCCTCACCTGGTCATGCACAACGTCAGTATGAAGTTGAATCCTCTTGTAGGTCCACTCAGCCTTACAATGAGTACCTGGTCTGGTGTGGTGAGCTTGTGGTTGGTGTGTAATTGTACGTATGCGTGTGCACGTGACATGGCTCTAGGGGCGGTGGCATGGCCTAGCGGTCGCCCGTTTTTCGGTTGTTGGAGGGGTTCACATTTCGAATTCAGCAACTGGCATTGTTAATAATTATAATCATAACACATGTATGTGCTGGCTGCTTCACAGTGCACGTTAAAATCCCGTGATATCTTTCACAAGAGTAGGCCATTGTGTGCTGGCGTCATGGTCCAAATTTGTAACATTAAGCACAAATTACTCAGTTGGGATATTTTATATATACACTAGTGGCTGGCGCCGGTTTCTAGCTGTCTCCCAGTTAGATGGACCGAATTGCCACCTCTCGTTAATAACATTTCTGATTTTGATTTAAAGCTTTCGTGACTGCAGTAATTCATATGCTTAGTTTTTTCGGTAAAGTCACGTTGAAGGGAAACAACAAAATAATAAAATATGTATTTTATTATTGCGCTGTAAAAAATATATATTTTATTATTTTGTTGTTTCCCTTCAACGTGACTTTACCGAAAAAACTAAGAATAGCATTTCTGATGTTTTGATGTTCTGATGTGCTGTATGTGTGCGTCTGCTTTTACATGTTTGGTGTTGATGCATTGGTTCATGCACTGCACTGTGGAACTTGCCACCTGAGCATTACGTGGCCTAACACAAAACTCTATTGTGAATCATAATGTTGGCTGCGAACACCTATTTGTTAATAGATGGTTGTATTGTTTGCGCGCGTGTGTGTGTGGACCACAGGTGCTGGGTAAGGACACGGAGGAGTTCCGAGTGATCCTGGAGTATGTCACCAACACGCACGCGCACACGCACGATGCCTACGAGCTCGAGGTGGAGGAGGTGGGTACCCTCGCACTCCACCAGAGACACTATGCCATGAGCAATGGTCAATCCCCTGTTAGGTGAAGATCTCCCCAAATTGCTACCATTCTTCGTGGACTCGCGACGCACCAATCCACCCATCACAGCTGCGCGGTTGACATTCTCTTGCACGTTTTCCCTCCTTTGGGTACCATTCATTATTATAGCGATGTGTCATGTACAAGCCCAATTATTTTTCTAAACAGTCAACGTTATATATTTAAGCGGCGTATGGTTCTCTAAGAATTTTGTTCACCGTTCTGTCTCTCAAACCCAAGCTTCTTTTGTGCACTTTTGAGCTTTTGTTCCATCTTGGTGACTATTTCCCAGACGAGAGTTCTGCGTTAGGAGTAGAATACTGGGTCGTATTGGGTCCTCCATGTTGAAGACACGTCGCATGAATATACTTTACATACACAATCGGTGTCGCTTTGTGCGCAACGCACACGCGTCTGCGTCCGTCGGCAGGTGTTCAAGGTGTCGCGAGACGGCGAGTTTCAGCGCTACCGCCCGTTCCGCGAGCTTCACAACCGCCAGCTTCTGTGGCACGGTTCCCGCATGACGAACTACGCCGGCATCCTCTCCAAGGGCCTCCGCATCGCGCCCAAGGAGGCTCCAGTTGTACGGACCCCGACGCACCACCCCCTGCTCCGCTCACGTCAAGCTTTTCCCTCCTCACATTTACACGGACTCAAGCTGCCACACATATGATTGTACATGGACAGCCCTTTTACTAGTCCACTGCTGGATGAGGGCCTCCCCGTGCCCTGCGTGTCACGGAGATTATTTCACCTTACTTACACACTCCTCAGTGCAGGTTGGTCATCGTGTAGATGTTTGAAAAAAGTTAATGATACCAATTTATTTACTGCACTGCCCCCTGCTGGTAGCATTACCCTGAAGCAGCCTGTGGAACCTGTATTATGCATCGTAGCATACAGGCTCAACTTACTTAGCTTGCGGGATATTATGAGATTGTACACATGCCTGGTGAATTATCCATAGCCAAACGTAAGATTCATCATCATCAACCATTGTCTATCCACGGCTGGATTACAGCCTCCCCATGTGTCACAGTCCTCAAAGTCCAGTGCTACTACCATCCATCGTACTCCATACACGTAAACCAATTTCACTGCTTCGTTTCCACAACGGTCGCCCTCTTGGACGCGTGCTCTCTTTGCGAGTGCCCGGTGTGTATTGCGCGGCTTGTTTCCCCTCCGTAGACGGGCTACATGTTCGGCAAGGGTGTCTATTTCGCCGACATGGTGTCCAAGAGTGCCAACTACTGCCACACAAGCCCCAGCAACCCCACCGGCCTCATCCTGCTCGCCGAAGTCGCCCTCGGAAACATGTGGGTCGACCTGCTGCCTCCCCTTCCCCCTGACGCTTTCTCTCCAGGGTTCCCCCCAACCACAACCCCCCATTGTCTCCCTCTTTCTTCTGAATGTGTTCAGTTACCTCTCATGCGTGCCTCGGCTCCATCGGTCACGTGTTGTAATCTGTAATACTTTTTGTTATCGTTGGGGCACTTCTGTTCCTGTTCAATTGTTCTGTTCTGTTGGATGCAAGAAATATATTACCGTATTTTCCCGCATATAACCCGTGGGGTATACCACTATTTACAAACAAAACAAGACCCTGCGGGGTATATGGAGGTGCGGGCTATCTGAAATTTGTTTTACACAAAACGCTATTTTTGCGGGGTATATGCGTCTGCGGGTTATATGCATATGGGGGCTATATGCGGGAAAATACGGTAATCCACGCTTCATCCATGGTCTATTTCTTGCTGCTGTAAAAACATATAATTATTTTTTTATCCAGCAAAGCCTCATTGAGTCTCAGCAAGGTCCTGCATGTGGATGTTTTGCCAGTTCCATTGCAATGAGCCTTTTGCATGTGGGGCATTTGGAGAAAAAGCTTGCGTACAAGGAGAGAACATGAATAAGTCGCACAGATGGATTTATGAACCTCATTTAATCTACTGCCATCTCCTGGTCACCTCGGTGCACAGTGGGTTTGAGAGTTTTGCATATCTATGTGATGTAGCAGTTCTGGTCTCCAAAGTACTGGGACTAAAGTGTGTGACTCCCTCCATTTTTTTCATTGGATTAATTCCCTGATTGAACGAATTTCCTTTTTTGGGTTAATAAGAAGAAAAAACAGCCCAAACAATGTAACTATGTTAGCTGAACATCTCAATACTGAACAATTATCTCCATCTTATTCAATTTGGTTTAACACATAGCAACCTCGCCTCGTACTGCGAAAACTTGGCAGGACTCTGCTTAAAAAAATAATCTTGAGACTCGGCGAGCCTTTCCTGGATAAAAATATATATAATAATAATGCCTGCACATCAACCCCAAAAATAACTCAAAGCTAACTGCCGTCTCTTCACGTTATTTAATATCCCGTCTTCCCCACCTACACCGCACTGTGCAAATATAATACTTTTAAAAATGAAAAAACGATCTACAGCTGGTGTGCGGTAGAACAGCCGTTCTGTAGTGAACTTGTCTCCACCCCCGCCGTTCGCGTGAGAGCTTTGTTGCCCGTTGTTGTCTCGCAGGCATGAGCTGAAGCAAAGCGAATCGATTACCAAGCTGCCAAAGGGAACCCACAGTGTGAAGGGTGAGTGGGCTCCTTTTCGCTCACTATCTCGCTCTCCCCGGCACACATCATGCACCTGGTTTCCATTAAGAAGGGGAAGAAATAGCTCCGCTTGTACAAAGGTCCCTGTTTTTTTAAGTGGCACTTGAGTAGCTTACTGTTGTCCAAAACGGAATTGTATTTTTTTACAACCACTACTGACATCGTGTTCTGTAATGCGTCCATCAATTTGACAGTAACTTCCTGATGATAAAGACAGTTGGATGTAATACATCAGCATTAGCTTATTTCAATTTATAACTCATTCACTTTGCCCGAAGTACAATTATTTGACAATGATGTGTCATTGTATATTCAAACCGGTAATGGTCGACGATAACCCTATAGTTTCAAAATATGATTTTTAAATGCGCTGCAAAGGTGTGTTGCGTGTTGGTGCACTTTTCCAACCCTGCAGGCTACTGCACTTGTTCTATGTCTCAACATGCAAATCATCCTGTCCGACAATTGTGCAACGTTTTCCTTTTCTTTCCCGCCGTTTGTGTGTGTGCGTGTGCGCGTGTGTGCGACGGCGCAGGTGTGGGTAAGACGGCGCCTGACCCGAAGAAGACCGTGACTCTCAACGGCGTGCAGGTGCCAATTGGCAATCCTTCCGCGACGGGCATCAACGACACCAGCCTGCTGTACAACGAGTATCCTTCGCTAGCCCGGCCTCCCTGCCTCCACTCCCCTTCTCGTCCCCGCGCTCTCTTCCCTCCCCTGGGCACCGTTAACGCCCACGACAGCGAGTCCTGCCGTGGGCTCGTATTCTCACTCAATATTTTCTGGGTTTGCTGGTAGGCTGTGGGGAGGTGGCACGTGACGAGTAGCCGCAGCCATGGTGAGAAGTATACCGACTGTGGCGCGCCTCTGGGTACGGAAATATTTTCTCGCTCGCCAAACCCGGCTGATATCAAGCCCCTGCTTCTGTCTGTGCCAACCAAATAGTTGGAATATATAGAATTGGTTGTGTGGCCAAATTTTATTAGGAAGGTTTCATTGACCAGGCTTGCAAGGCTTCATTAGGTTTTGTTTTACAGTTGGGTTTTGTTAGAGCAGTTGTACAGGTGGCTGTTGTTGGGATTAGTTGTACAGGTGAGTTTTACGTTTCTCATGTCTAAGCATCTATTGCTGCACACATTGTCCTTAACGTGCCCTTCCTCCAGATACATCGTTTACGACGTGGCTCAGGTGAACATCAAGTACCTGCTCAAACTGAACTTCAAGTACAAGATGCAGCTGTGGTAGACAAGCGACAGGCGGAAAACACACAAAACAAAAAAAACAAACACGCACGCCAAGGGACTGGACTGAACAAGCTGACACAACACAGTTGGACGCAAAGAATCTGAGCTGCAAGTTTGAGTAAGCCGTGGCATCACAAACTTAAAGAGCGCTGCGACACCTCTTACACCACACACAGGCAACATGCGCAACTACTTGCACGCCCCACAGATACGCCCCTCAATCAGCGCTAACATCGGTGTTGACACGTGGAGGTGTAGGTGGAACACTGCAGTTTATTTCCATGTAATCAGTGTAACGTTTATATAGTCAGAACGTTTTAACGATTATGGCGAGGTGAGCTCACTGATATGTTTTCGGGTTGTCATACGTGTTGTTCGGCACGATGCTCATCGTTTCACTCCACGTCCTGGGGGGAGGGGGGGGATCCTCTTGGAAACTGAATGGAGCAGATCACACGACGTAGCAGAGAGCCCGTGGTCTCGCGGAGCGTTTTATGGAAAACACCATTCCGCCTATCTCGCGCGTGTTGTTGGTGAGCGGTGTACGCTGTGGGCTGTGGTCATTGGCAGTGGTGGGGACGATGGTTAGTGTGGGCACGTGGGGCGTGTTGAACTTCACTAGCACCGTGCAAGGATTTGAAAGCATCGTGGAACGAGTATTATAAGTGAGATCTATGTTAATCGATGTAGCAGTAGTGAGTGCGCGGGGAAAGTTAACTCCTCACTCGCAAAGGAGACCAAACTGATTTATTTGTATAAGCTAAACTATTCTAGATTTGAAGCTTTCGTGACTGCAAGGATTCATACTGTTTGGTTTTTTCGGTAAAGTCACGTAGGTAAAATAAAATAAATGAAAACAACTAAATTAAATCACGACGCTTCGGAGGCAACACAAGCTTCCGTCTTCAGGTGGAACAGTCACAGCAAAATAGCTGTATCAAGTGAAGAGCTCTGAGACACCCGAGATTATATACAGGTTAAGGGGGGGGGGAGGAGCCAGGAAGGGACGTGGGTGGGGGGAGGGCTAAGTTAAGCCATGTGTTGCCTCCGAAACGTCGTGATTTAATTTAGTTTTCATTTATTTTATTTTACCTACGTGACTTTACCGAAAAAACCAAAGCGTAAGCTAAACTATGTTAATGCAACACTTTAGAACATAAGGTACACACGGTCAACATTTGAATCTGGAAGTGTGTTTTTCTGCTGCAATCTGCAAGTTATGATTTGTGAGACATTTCACATACTGAAAGCTGTGAGTTGGATTCTAAAATCTTGGGTCACAATTGTGGTGCATGTGATGTTAAGATCACCAACATGCAACATGAGAATATAAGGTGGCTGAAAAAGGTTTTTCCCAGATTTTCATATATACCTCAGGTTTTATAGGCTGGCCTTCATTAATCTCTTCCCCACAATGGGCTACACCATGCTGTGTAACTCCAACATGGGGTCTGTTGCGACTATCTGTAACTGTTGTGCAGCAGGCAAACACATTAACAGACACTTGTAAAATTGTCATGCATCCTAGTGCTCCAACATTTTTTGAGTCAAGGCCAGAACACTAGTTTCCCCAAGTGCTAGTTTTGGTTGTTATTTGTATAACGATAGATCATCTATGATAAGACGCTTGAAACATGCAAACATATAAGGTAGGGCTATTAAGAAGCCAATAGCAGCCTCGTGTTTAGAACGTGCCGTATGTGAAATGTAGCCTGCTTCGATCGTCTAGACAAGTTGCGCTTGCTTGAAGTTTGCTAGTTTTTGCTACTCAAGCTTTCACGTTTTCACTTTTGTATGTTTTAAAATAACTTGATATTAATCCTACCTTGTGAAGCTCTCTCTGGTTTTGAGTTACTGTATAGGTGAGCACCCTGTTATGACCTCACACACTGGTTCTGGGCTACAACGTACGGCCCAGGTAACCCCAACTGCGTCTCTATACCTTTACATCTGTGATTTTGCATAAAACAACCAGTGTAGCGTCTTTCATTTAATAAAACCTTTTTCATAATGAATAACTACCGATGCGACCGCTTAGTGTATGAGAAACTGTTGTCTTGTTTTTATTTATATATGGATATACCGTTTCTTCACAAAGATAACATTCATTGCTACATTTTATAGTGTGGCAGCTCTTCGACATCAGGCTGTGCTCTTTGCTCACCATTCATCCTGCGTCAGTGGTGGAAATTCTGCATTTTAGTGATGTGGCCCATATTATTCCCCTTGTTTACCCAGGAAAGTCTCGCTCGGTCTCAGTACTGTACTTTATCAAGAGGGTCCTGCCAGGTTTCCACAGTCGAGGCCAATGTTGCTCTTCGTAATACCAATTTAAAAATGTGCAGGTGTTTTCAGCATTCGGATGTTTGGCCACTCCCATTTACATTGTAGGGGCTTTTCAGTTTAATAATGATCTTGACACATGAGGCACTGCGTAACTTATATTTTCTGACTTAAGTGATGAAAATGTCATTCCTTTGGCCAGGTTGTCTTTATTTAATTAATTGCTACAATTGGATTCCACTTGCCAAATATTTCACCATCTCCAGATGGTGCTTATTTCACCAATTTTACATGTGAATCCATGACCAATATAAATGCCAGGGTTTCCAACTAGGCTATCAATCTTGGTCCATAGCTTGGGTGGTTCCTAAGTGGGCTTGATTCATTCAGCTTATCGCAGATGACTGATGGATTGTAGATTGACCCTGACCAGGATTTGAATTTCGGGGACCGGCTCTTCAAAGGAGCCATATCCCAGACAGCGATGATGGCATTGCACTGCGTTTTACAATCACAAATTTGTATCTTCTTTCAGAATAAAAAGTCCTCAAGTTGACATTTCTAGTAGGAACTCAGGGCGAACATTAGGCTGAACGCGACCGCAACTCCCAGCACTGTGACCTCCCTTGGGATCAATGCAGCAAAGCCCCTGCTGGCTTCAGAGAGCGACGGCTTCAGAGTCGCAGTTGACTTTGCGGGTGGCCCGGTGGTCGTCGTTGAATTGGTTCGCCTGGTTATTATCGTGGTTGTGGCGGTCGTTGTTGAAGTGGTTGAGGCGGTCGTGGTCGATGACGTGTAATCACGGCAGAGCCTCCCAGTGGGGCACATCAACACCCCGTCATAGCCGGGAACCTGGGGTGGAAATAGGAATTTAATTTCGGGGAAATTATAAATTGGCAATTATAAAATGAGATTTTTTTTAAAAGACTGCAAAATACATTAATGATCACAGTAAACTGAACTTCTGCCCTCCAATGTATTTCATCATTGCAATCTTTTGATTTCTAACGAACATAAATCTAAAGTAACATTTTGTTCAAACAATATACTTCATTATTGGTGTGACATGCACACATGTGGTTCCAAAAACCATGACTGCTCTCATAAAACATTAAGAAAATCATCCAGCCTTGTAATTTTTGACATTCGGAGTCCGAATTGAGTGTTTCAGATGTAAAAGTATTGTAACCATGATACTAGTGTGATAAACTCAATACATATTTTTTTAAAAACCCACCATCAGCAATGGCCATTCCACTGCTGGATGAAAGCATCCCCAAAGCCATCTATCTCAGTCCCACCATGTAAAAATTAGTATCTACATATGAGCTAATTTCATCACTTCTTCTCCATGGTATATGTACTCTCGGGCACGTTTCCTCCTTTAACCGTCACTGTGTCGTTTGTCTTGACCACCGGCCATCATTCCTTCTCGTGACGTGTCCTGCCCAAGCCCAGTGCTTTTTTTCTAAACAGTAAATGCAATACTCTTTGGTTCTTTCGGTAAAGTCACGTAGGTATAAAACAATCAAAATGAAATCACGACGTTTTGATCGCAACACAAGCGACCGTCATCACGTGGAACCGATACAGCAGGAAAACTGCTGATTTAGGAGAAAGATCTGCTAACAACAAGAGCTTATAAAGGGTACATGTTTTCTACCTACGTGACTTTTGCCGAAAGAACCAAAGAGTATGGATCCCTGCAGTCACGAAAACTTCAAATCTAGAGTAAATGCAACGGTTCTACCTAGCCTATGTTCTCTAATTTAAGTGGTAATGCCAAGCATCCAACTCTCCATGCTTTGCAAACTTGCTCCATTGGCATTTAATTTTCCTTGTGTAGACGAACATACGTTGAGATAATGGATTTTGATCGTAGCCAAAAGCCAAGTTACTGGAACGTGTGTGACACTGATCCTGGCTGAGCGTCTTTGTGGAAGGATGAAAAAAATGTGCAAGCTGTGTCATCGCCAGATCCACAGTGAACACTGGTGCTCATTGTTTTACATCGCAAAGGCAGTACGCGGCCCTTGCGATCAGTTTCCAGCAACCAGAGAAAAGAGGACAAATATGCTGAAACGATGCCGGTTCCGTACAAAGTTGAGAGAATTTTCAAGGTCGGTGTGGTTTTCAAAAATATTTTCCTCAAAATGTGGATAAACTTTTTAAGTGCAACATCTCTGAGACGAACTAAGCATCCATTTAACAGATTTCCCTCGCTTTATGCAGGTTCGGTTTGTGCGATTTCGGGTAGATGCACCTCACCTATTTCTACAAAAAATTCGCTGTTTGAAGTTTCAACTCGCTATTGCGAGTGCTGTACAGGGGGTGGTTCAAAAAAATGTTAACACTACCGAGAATTTGCAACAATACCACAAGAAATGTGCTGCTGCCTCCGGGCTCTGGAGACCACGTGGAGAAGATTCCAGGCGTGCGTTGACAACGATGGCGAACAAGTGGAGACTCTTTGACTTTTTGAAGCTATGAACATACATTTATACTCTTTGGTTCTTTCGGTAAAGTCACGTAGGTATAAAATAAAATAAATCACGACGTTTCGGGCGCAACACAAGCGTCCGTCATCAGGTGGGAAAGCCATGGCATGCTGCTGAGGCATGTGTTGTGCCCGAAACGTCGTGATTTATTTTATACCTACGTGACTTTACCGAAAGAACCAAAGAGTGGATTTCTGCAGTCACGAAAGCTTCAAATCAAGATTGAACATACATTTGTTATGTTACAGTCTATCATCCGTTCTTTTTTTCATTTAGAAACGATAGTTCCATATAAGTGTTAACATTTTTTTAAGCACCCTGTATGTGCTACGTGGCAGGCAGACGTCTCATGCAGTTTGTGCGCCCTTTTCTTGGAACGCATTTACTGCTTAAAGTGAGGAAAACTTGTACACATTCTGTTCAGGTTAGAATGGAACATTTTCTCTCATGCGAGTGGGGAGGAAGGGTACCAGGCAGGCAGAAGATTCACTCGGGGAGGGAAATCCAATATCCTAACTGGCAGAGTATTAATTATATTGTCATCCATTTGTCATTCCACTGTTAGAGGAAGACCTCCCCCACGCCATGTCTGTCATGAGGCTTTGGCAATGTTTCGGTCCCTGCTGTCGTCAAGTATCGGTGAAGACGGGGGGGGGGGGAGGGTGCAACAAGGACTTGTTCAGATGTCACTCGTTCGTGACATCTGAACAAGTCCTTATTTCCAGATACAGCACGATGTGCACAAACCACTGCGCCAATGCTCCAATATTTGTAGAGCTTGAATTCCATGCTTGTCAGGTTTAATGGTGTTTTTAGTTCCATTACAACGGCACAAATCCTTTAAGAAATGTATTTGCATTCACTTAGCAGAGTTTGAATTCCGTGTTTGACTCTGATGAGAGTTAAAATCCCATTAGTATACTGTAAAAAAAAACACACATTTACAGTGTAGCGTTCTAAACTCATTACACTTGGAATGCTATTAGATATCCATAGTTGTAAACCCATTATTATTATAGTTCTACTTTCATTTGTTTTGTATAGGGCTTCAATCCCATCAGACTTTAAATGCCATTAGTATAATATTCAAAACGTATAATTGTGGACTTATAGTTCCTTGAGTATTCAGTTAGAATCCTCTTCGTGTAGTTCTAAGGGAATTATAGTTCGACTCCCTTTGTCAAAGAGCTCCAATCCCATCACTGGTGCTGTTGAGAGTTGGGTGAGCTGGTCACTGTCAGTGACGACCCCAACACCCTGGCTGCCCGTGCAGTCACACATCTCCCCCCCCACCCATCCGCTGCACCCCTCTGGGAAGTCCTGCGAATCGAGGAAAACAAGACCTCAATAACGACCCTTCGCCATCGCTGTTGGACCAATGCGCTTAACCTTAAACAATGCGCATTCAACCCTGATGAAGCTTGGAGAGCTGAATGGAGTTCAAAAGAACTCAAAACCTTATTGTCAAAGACCCAAAACACAAGATCCCTGGGTTTGATCTTCCACAAAGCTCATGGTCCACCTTAAATCGCATCCACTCCACAGACCATGGCAGCAGATGCGGGATACCTGATGCACAAATGGATGATTAAAAACTCTCCAGCAGTGTGCGACTGTGGTCATCCAGAACAGGCCGTACAACGTATAATGACGCAATGCCCCATCCACAAATGCGAAGGAGACATCACAGCGATACACTTCGCTGCTCCTGACGCAGTTATCTCGCTTGACCCCAAATGTGAAATTGTAGTTGCTCTGCATCTACATCAGCAGTCGTACGAAAGAAGAAGTGGGGGCGGACACCTTGATGCTGGACCCTGCGGGACACGGCGTCCACCCCGAGTCGCCCACGCGCACCTCCACCTGCTCCTCCCCGAGGCAGCGGTGTGCGTAGCAGCGTCCGAGCAGCCCCGAGGAGTTAGACGGGACACCCTAGAGGGGAATAGGGGAGGACCAGGGTGGGGTTAGCATCACGGGGGTGGGGTGAGGTGCGCACGGGACAGTGAGCGTACGTCTGCGCAGGTAAGGCGCTCGGGTGAGTAAGCCTGCTCGTACAGGCGAGAGGCCCAGTTGGCAATAACGTGTGTGCACAGGTAAGGTGATGCAGTTGATGGGGGGAGTACGTGTTACAGGTGAGGTACACTGATTTGTGAGCATGTATCTGATCAAGTGAGGTGCTTAAGTGATAAGACAGCGGCATACGTGCTTTGTCCAGATGAGGTGTCTGGGTGGGCGTGAGCTTGCCTACTTGTCAGGTATACTGGTGAGTCAAAGGACATGTAACCTCTTCAGGTGATATGCCCAGGTGATGTGCTTTGTTCAGGTGAGATGCCCAGATGAGTGAGCATGTCTACCTATGCAGGTTACGTGGTGATGCTTCTGCGTTGGCAGTGGCGCACGATTTATGTGCCATAGAGGAGGGGGGTCCATTACCCGAAACGTCGCACAATATGTATTTTGTTTCCTTTTAAGGCCACAGTTGTACTCATTATGGCGAGCTGCTCTGGAGAGCTGTTTCTGCTGAGCTGTTTCTGGTGAGCTGTTATAGTCAGATTTCTGGTAAGCTGTTTTCTGGTCAGCTTTTCTGGCGAGCTGACTGGGAGCTGGCTCTGGAGAGATGCCCAGGCAATGCCGAAGCCCTCTCTCTTACCTGTCGGCTGAGGTTTGAGAAGAAGCAGCGGCTGTTGCTCAGGTAAACCTCGCCCGTGGAGTTCCGCTCTGCGACGGAGGGGGCATTCGCCTCCAGCCAGCACTCCCCCTGCACCACGGGGGGGGGGGGGGGGGGGGGGGGGGGGCAGAGTGCACGCCGTCGTGTGACAACCCGAGAGGAAAAAATAACGCCTTCTCGTCCAGAGGCTAATGTGTGCTGTATGCGTATGTAATGTTGAACTTCTTTTCGCGCCGTACGTAGCCGACGGTGCTAATCGGAGGTGCGGGGGGAAGGACAAGGAGCTTCGTGAAACAAAATAATTCACCAGGCACGGGCCCAGGACCGTCGGATAAATTGACGCAATGAAGTGTTGAGAACGATGCACTTGTGTGTAAAACGCAGATTTACACGGAGGATTTACCAGTCGAGAGAGATGAAATCATAGGTTGGTTGAGAAACGGGGAGAAGCACGCCCCGTACATGTTGGCATGTTTTGTTAGGTTCTGCTCTGGTCTTTAAATACAGATGTGAGTGGATTTTTTTAGGAATTTAATATTAGGATTGGCAAGAGCGTTAAACATGTCTAGAATTCCATAACAGCACAGTAAACATTTTCACATGGGTTTTTTATGCCGCTGAAAGGTCATAGGTCGTACACAGATCGTTATCGAAGCCATCGATCCGTTTCCTTCCGATTCGAATGAACTCTTATTTGACTGGAAGATGAAAGTTATTCAAGCAAGAGCTGTGACTGACGGACTCTCAGACGGACAAATTAAATTTCTCGTGGCATAGATGTGAGCTCTGACCTTGCTGACGAGTGGCTTGTAGATGCGGCAGCCGTTCAGGAATGAGTCAGTGTCGCAGCGACCTTTGTGCAGGTGCAGGTAGTGGCACCCTAGTCCGCTATACCGCACAACCACACAGCCGCATATGCATTCACATCACCGCACATCCGCATATCAATTCCCGGAACTGCACATCCATATCGCTGCAAATCCGCATAACCGCACAACTGCAATTTCGTATATCCTAACATCCACATAACTGCACATCTGTAGACCCACAGTTTTGTGGGTATGCGGATGTTACAATTAAATTCCTCTGCCATTTACAAGAATGTGGTTTTTTTTATCCCATTCTGTGCATGTGTGCTTGTGTAAGGGTGGTGGTTGTTAGTAGTTTTTGTAGTTGTCACCTTCCCTGGCAGAAGAAGGGAGAATCTGGAGTGGAGCACGTGGAGACCAAACCGAAGTCTCCCCCCTGACCTGCAGGCAAAGTGAGGTGCATGTGACATACAATTAATAAGTCATAATGAAACAGCACTGGGGAGATAAAGGCGGCCAGGCGTGGTGCTGGACACCCCACCCCCTAGTGCACCGTGCCGGCCTTCACAGGTGCTCACAGCACTTGCCCCAGCAGTCTGTTAAAGGCTATAGGGGGGTTGGGGGGAGGGGTCTTTGTCTTCTGTACGTACGTACCACGGCCCCAAACGAGTGGCTCGGCCCGGCTGTAGTTGACGCGGTACCACCCCGTGTCCTCCAACGCCGCCAGCGTCACCGTGTCCACCAGCACGAGGCCGGGTGCTCCCAGCGATGCCGTCATGATGGAGCCCTGCAGCGCGCGCGCCTCCCAGTGCGACGATGCCACCGACGAGCCGTCCTGCGGGGGCGGGATCGAGGGGTGAGCCGGATTATATCCTAGGAGCAAAAGTAGCTACAACACGTGTAGCAGCTACGACACGTGTAGCAGCTATGACACGTGTAGCAGCTACGACATGTGTAGTAGCTAAAACACGTGTAGTAGCTAAAACACGTGTAGTAGCTAAAACACGTGTAGTAGCTAAAACACGTGTAGTAGCTACACGTGTTGTAGCTACGAGTCCCGCACTTTCAAGAGCCCCACGCTGAATGCTTTTAAGCTTATCAATTCCGGTTCAGTGATTCTGCACTTGCTCTATTACTATAGTACTATACTGCCTTCAACTTTTACGAACGAATGGGTGTTTAAGGTTAGCGATTTGTCGTATTATCTGGCTGTATAGCAAATGAAAAAATACAATTACTTTACTATACAAGTAAAAAATGTTTGAATATATACGTGTTTTTCTTAATTTAGGGCCCCTTTAGGACCCCTCACTAGCTTATTCCGGCACTGGGTGAGGTCACTTTCGGGGTCAGGTGAGGGTAAGAGGGTTAGGGTTGTGGTGCAGGTTGGGTTGGGGATGTTTGGAACAAAGTGGGGTCTTCTCAAGTTTAAGGTGCGGTGCAGGAGGCCTTGGCAGTGACAGAAGTAAAATTATAAACTATTGCCCGGTCGACAATATTTCCCTATAGTACCCGTTTGGTGTGGCCGAGATGCCTGCAGTGAAGACTATATTTTATTTGCGGGCCGTTCCTAAGTGGTAGGCCTCATGTGGCCACGGACTACATTAATTTAAGCCGTGGACCGGATATGGCCTGCGGACTGTGGGTACCCCACCTCAGGTTTAGTTCAAGGTGGTGTCATATGTTGTTGAACTTCTTTCGCACCGTACATAACCAACTGCGCTAATCGGAGGTGTGGGGGAAAGACAGCAAACTAAACGCAATAAGCAGTTCGAAAGGAATGACTTTTCAATCAAGATCATTTAAAAGTACATAGCTCCAGTGGCTTCCTAATATCGGAAGGAAGAGCGTTCCAGACGGCCGCAGAAGCGCGTCTGAAACTGCGCGATGCAGTCAAGAGAAGGATGTGGGGGGGGGTCAGAGTGGGGTCATGCTGGGGTCAGGGTGGTCACCGCGTCCTCCAGGACCCCGCCGCACTCGGAGGAGTTGCAGGCCAGGAGGTGCTGCACGGCGCGCAGCACGGCCGGGGTGAACACGCGCTGCTGCCCGTGCGCGTCCTCGTTTGTGACCTGGGCCCGCGGGGAGCAGTCCCGGCCCAGCGCCAGCGCTGCGCATCGATCCGTCGCAGTGGGTGGTAGGGGGGTGGGGTCGGTCAGTCGCACAGAGTTCGATGTGTTATTCGGATAATTCTTATCAGCGATTACAGGTGCGAATTGCTTGCCGAGGCGCACTCAATGAAGAATGAAAGAGCCGAGACGAGAGCGCTCGACTCGGTTTTTGAAAGTTCGATCTGCTCACTAAGGTTTCCGTTAGTGGCGACGACACGAGGGGGTGCCGCGCGCTCACCCGAGTCGCTGCAGTCGCGCCACTTGCTGTAGAGGTCCTTGGAGAAGCCGAGTGCGTGGAAGAGCTCGTGAATTACGGCCTGTGTGAAAACAGCGTCAGCGCCAAATATTATGATAATTTATTCATCATTTCAATTTGTGACACGCCGCTGAACAGTATTTTCTAACGACTCGGAGGCGACGAGGAACCACAGATAAGCGGGAAAGGCAGCAGCCAATCGGTGAGCTTGGCCTCCTCCCCCCAAGCTCTGCAGTTATTTATATATTAACGTGTTATAGGCCAATTTATGAGTGTTTACAATGTGGAAGGAAATTGGAAGGATCCTGAGAAAACCCAATCATGCAAGGGGGAAACACTAAATTCCATACAGACGAAAAAAGTGGAGTCCACATTTTTGCTGTACCACCTCCTGGTGAACCTTGATGCCCACGGGAAGGGAGTTTCGCAATATTTGTGCGATCCACCAACCCACGCTTCCACAGTGCTGGATTAGAGGCGTGCGCCACCTACACCTGACGCATATTTTTGCTTAAACGTCCAATCACTTCCATAGATGAGATTCATCTAATCCACCTCATTTATGCATCGCAATCATTAAATTCATCATCTCCGTCCATCCATCCATAACTTAGCCATCACGTGCAACACCAAACGTTCTATAATGTCCATCAATCACATCCAGTGCATCATCATCGCCAGCATCACGTTCATCGCAACCATCCATCGGATCAAATCATCACAAGGGCACCAACCATCAGAGCCTTTGTTTCACCCAGCCTTTTATCACAAAGTCCTTCTTGTCCACCACTGATCCCTGCTTACCAGCGCCGTGCTCTCACTGTTGAAGGCGTCGCCCCGGAGCGACGCGGGGCAGAAGGTGGCGGCCGCGGCCACGGGCCGGTCCACCTGGTCCAGCTGACAGTAGGCGGCGTAGGCGGTGACCTGATGCACCGCACGTGCAGGGTCAGGGTTCCAGTGCAGGGTCAGGGTTCCAGTCCGAGTCGAGGGTGCAGGGTCCAGGGTTAGTGAAGACGAGGGAACATAGGGGCGACGGTGGGTGGGGCAGATACAAGTTTGTTTGTGCATGTGTGTCACTTGTGTGTGCAGGTGTCGTGTGTATAGGTGTCTTGTGTATAGGTGTGTGTATATGTGTAGGGAGCGGCAGTGTAGCGGTTAGCGCGCTGCGCTACGAACCCGGCTACCCAAGTTCGATTCCCGCTCACGGCCACACACCGGTGACAATTATCTGAACTGGTCCTGGGCCTCCCCTAGGTCAACTTAGCCTCAAATAAACACCTCGTGCGGTGTGTAAACATCGCCATTGGGGAGACAAAGGCGGTCGGGTGCGGCGCTGGCCACCCACCCCCTCGTGTGCCGTGCCGGCCTTCATAGGTGCAAGCTAACAGCACTTGTCCCTACAGTCTGTTAAGGTTACACGGGGGATCTTTTTTTTGTAGGTGGCACATTGTGGAGTACAGGCGGTGCATCTGCCAGTCATCTCAGTGAACACTTGGCTCTGTCCCATGACTTCCTGTCGGCAATCCTTCAACAACCATTGTCAGTTGCGAGTGATATCTGAACGGGTGCCTGGCCTCCCCTTGGGCGACTCAGCCTAAAAATAATAGCTGGTGTTGCATATACACATCAGCACTTGGGGAGACAAAGGCGGCTGGCCACGGTGCTGGCCATGCCGCACCACACCACTCGTGTGCCGTGCCTGCTGCTAACAGGGAGTGCCCACTTCGGTCAGTGGACGAGGGGTGGTTGGCTTGGGCGCTCCCCCCCCACCCCCCCCGACTCTGTATCCCTGACCCCCATAAGCCCGTTGGCCCCGATGCGAGTGCACTGCAGAGTTTGGTAGTACATGTTATGTATATCGCTATTGTTAAATTTCGATCGCAGTTCCTATGATCACTGTAACATTGTTTTTATAGCGTTATTTTAGTGATTTCGAATAAGATTCAAATTTGGCCATATTTGTTTGTTGTAGTATAGATTTAAACGTAACTTTTACCTAAATTGTATTGTGATTGTTTGTTGTTTATCTAGCATCCAGCTGGGATTTTTTGCACACAGCATTAACTAACGGCGCTTTTTCTGGAAGATTTTAATGTTTTTTTTTTTCCCTGGATGTTTCTGTTTGCGTGCAGTCAATTTAACATCTTGTTAATGTTAATTGTTTGTTGCGGTTGCACCCGAATCAAGAGCCGAATGGCTCACAGGGCTATACCAACATAAATTAACTGAAATGAACTACACTGCCCGCACACTCGATAGCCACGCCGCAGTCGAGCTCCAGGGCGTCGGTTCGCACCCCGGCAGCGCAGCGGAGGGTGTCGGCGGCGCGCACGTAGAGGATGAAGTCGGAGTCCAGGACCCCGGGACCGTCCCCACGGATCTCCACACCGGAACCCGAGCTGCCCCACGTTGAGTAGCCCAGCAGGTGCTCCTCAGGGATCTGAGCCGATCGGGATGGAGGAAGACGGTGGTGGCGGTGAATCTGCCGGTCATCTCAATGAGTCGACCCATGGGCACCTGCTGGGTCTGTCCCGTCACCTCCTGCCAGTGGGCGTTCGATGCTTCACGTGGCCTTGAAGTGCACGCAGCCTGGCACAAACGCCGTGGTGACGTCTCCGCCACTTAGTGGCGAATGGCGGTTGTTGTCGTTGTTGTCAGTGAGACTATCGTTTGTCTTTTGATGGCGGTCATGTTAGCGACGAAGGTGGTGATGATGGTAGCAGTGTTGCGGATGCTTGTGTTGATTGATGACGGTGGAGGTGTTTGTGGTGCTGATGGTTGTGGTGTTTGTGATTAATCGATGATACATGATGATTGATGATGGTGTTGGTGATGAAAATGGCAGTGATGATACATGGTGTTTCATGATGATCGTGGCGGTGGAGGAGATGGTGGTGGTGGTAGGTGTAGCAGCAATGGTAATCGTGATCATGACAGTGGTGATAGTGGTGATGAGGCTGTACCTTTGCTTCCAAACACATCTCCCCAGTGTACCTGCTGTCCAAAGTGGAGCACCTGTGACAGGAGCCATGTGGAGGGATGGAGGGAGAGAGGACAGAGGGAAGGAGAGGGGAGCACGAGGGCGATGGGATTCCAGAGTTAGCACTCAAGCTCACGGCATGTTTTTTTTACGATTGATGTTAAAGAAGGGACGTTGCTGGACCTTCTGTGTGGAGGTGCTGTAGCCAAGGGGATAGTGATGTGGTGCATGGAAAGGCAGTAACCATGATCGGGTGTGGGTAATGATAGATGTGTGTGTTTAGTGATGGGGAGTACTGTTGATGTGTGTGAGCAGTGTTTGGTCGTGGTAATGATGGAGATGTGTATGGATATGATGGTTCAGTGTAGTTAGAGAGCACCTACTTCCCTCCATTCTCATATGACTGGGGCCAGAAGCTCTTGCAGTATTTGCTGGGAGTTCGGCTCAAACGCAGTGGACCTGACACAGGGATCACTGCACACACAAACAAAGACAAAGATCCCCCGTATAGCCTTTAACAGACTGTTGGGGCAATTGTTATTAGTGAACACCTATGATGGCCGGAACAGTACACAAAGGGGGGAAGAGGGCAAACACCACTCCCAGCTACCGGTCTCCTCAGCACTGATGTTCACACACCGCACCCGATACTCATTTCAGGCCGAACCAAACTTGGGGAGACCCAGGCCCTATTCAAATATTCGCCACTTATGCTAGCCGTGAGCAGAATCGAACTCGGGCCACCGGGTTCGAAGCGCAATGTGCCACCGCTCCGCACTAGCAGACAGATGTACTGTCCACACACACGGGCACCCGAAATGACACATTTCATGAAATCGCTCGGAGGAGGTGGCGGATCGATACAGGCATAACGTATTATTGATACGCAGCGATAATTACAAACAAGATTTCAGATATTGCACTTGCCGGTACCATCAGAGGTGGCTTTACTTGAGCGGTTCCGATTCCATTACGCAGCCAATAACAGCGGTATGACGTGATATGCAATTCAACGTGTATTTGTTCAATGAGTGGGGTTATCAAAAAGTCGTTTACTCTCATTGGCCCCCGTAAATAAATCGGTACGACTGACGATAGCGCTCATAATAAAGGTTTTTGGGTTAGATCGCGTTATTTATAAATGTGTCGTAACCCTCCACCACCCGACACGGCCAATCAGCAAAAAAGTGTCACGTTGACAAAACACAAATAATTCACTACTTTAGCCCACCGGTGTGTTGAAGAGTGAATCCACAACATTTACAGTTTGAGTACGACGTTTCGCTGGTAAATACATCCAGCATCATCGGGAAATTCGCCAGAATGGTAAAGCCCTCGCTTGCTCCCGGTTTTATATAGAGCAGCAGGGTGACGTCATCATTTAACTCATATCAGGTGCAGTGATTAGAGGCGGAGGGGGGGGTATTGTAATTATATAATCGATTAGTAATCAGTCAATGGTTATGATTAATAATGCGTTGTAGATTAGTAATTAGTTGTAATGTGTGTTAGTGATTATATGCTATGTTAGCAATCCGGCGGGATGGAGTTTCAGTTTCTTTATTTTGGTATAGCCCTGTGAGCCATTCGGCTCTTGAATCGGGTGCAACCACAACAAACAAAACAACAAAAACACGAACAAGAAAAACATGGAGAGTGGCTCTCGAGGCTTCTCTACCACGCGTGCAGCTCGCGTGTCGCGTGACTTGCAGAGCTGTCGGACGAGACGTATGGCACGACATTTGTTGCTATGATCCTCGGCGTTTAATGTTCGCCAAAATATTATAGCAACAAATATCACACCATAGAGACGCGTGCACACCCAGCCTCTCTGGGTTAATCGTTGACCGCCCCCAATTCCCCCTCCCCGCCACTAACCTCCTGTGTGGGTCCCTGGCACTGTTATTCTGTCATGATGGCTCTCTCTCTCTCTCGCCATTCTCAGATGTGATTATTGGTGGCATTAAGCCAGCTGATAAGGGGGGGGGGGGGGGGGGGATGGGGGGGGCATAGTGTAGACTTGGGGACTCTGCTGCATATGAAGTTCGCAGAGGCAGCATTTGCAGCAGTGACATTGCAGGGTCGTCCAGATGTCTTGTGACCTCCCATTTAAATTTTTTAAACTTAATATATATTTTAAAAGGTTTATTTCAAACAGAAATGAATTTTAAAATACAACAATGTTAGGGGTCAATTAATTGGGGGGGGGGGTCACAAAACATCTGGATCACCCTGTACTATTTCAACTAGTCAGCCAGATCCGATAGCCCTATCCCTAAACCTAACTACATTAGCCAACCAGACTCTCACTCGAATTCACTCCAGTGACATCATGTTTGGAGCGCCAATTTATTTAAATAATTCTTGTTTTCCGGATGCATTTAGTTCGGAGCATAGATTTGGCTATATTTGTGCCAAGTTTTCAGCTTTCTCTCACCCTTCTAGAACATCATTACAATTTACATCAGTCAGCCAAGAGCCTCTTGGTATGGGTATAGCATCGCTGTCAAATACCTGTGATATTTCACAGTTTTTTGGCCCTCCCCAAAGACCCCATCCATTCATTCATCACACTTTACCTAATATATATTTGTTTTAGTTGAACAAACCCGTTCCCAACTCTCAACTGTAGGCAACAGAGATTTTAACCGAGGTGAAAAGCCACAAATCCACACAACCGCCTTGCACAACCTAGGAACCCTCACAAATAAAATAGATCAGTGATGCACTGCTTAGTGTAATTTTGCGATGAATCTGGCCAGAACTGATATCTAATCGCGGCCACTTCTAACATCAGTGGTGAGAGATATCTGAACCGATGCAGCGTGGGAAATATAAAGTCTATGGTCACACAACAACCAACCCCCGTGACCAACACGGTGTGGGGAGGCCTCCATCCAGCAGTGAATTGACGAAGGCCTTTAAGGTTTGTGTTATTGTTTCATGCTCTAACAGACACACGGACAGACACATTTCAGTCGTTTTACAGCGATGTTATTATACCCACAGTTCGGCGAAGGCGGCACACAACAAATGCCGTCGTTGTTTAACAAATTGCGGTTCGCTCGCTGGCCGTGCTTGCGAGTCGTGCGGGGGGTGATTGACAGCTCACCCGCCAGCAGCTCCGAGACCCTTCTCACGGCCGCCTGCACGGACGCTTGCAGCCTCCTACTCTCCTCCGCCTGCAGGCCCCCCAACTCCTCGGCCAGGAGCTCCACGTGGATCCTCATCGGGCGGGCGTCCTGCTGACCACCACCAGCCGTCGTCGCTGCCCTGAACGCGCCTCTCGGTTGTGATGATGATGGTCGTGGTGGTGGCGGTTGTGCGTAGGACAGGACCACGGTGGGGGCATGCGAGGGCTGCACCATGTCGTGCACGCAACGTGCCGACCCTGAGTCGGGGCTCGCGACCCAGGCAAGCAGTGCGCTCACGTGGAGCAGGAGGGCTCCGCGTGCCATCGTCCTCGCAGGCGTCAGAGCACAGGGAACCTGCTCCAAAGGCGGTGACTGCTGGGGTCGTCACCGCCTTCTCCTCCGCCTGGAACCTTGCTCAGCCTCCACCCCCTGCAGGGCCTCCCGTTTTGTGTCACGCTCTGCGCTCTGCTTCGTCAAATTCTCAACGAGCTTCTCCTGACCGCCTCCTCTTCCTTCAGTTTTTACGTCAAAAAAAGTCCTCCGCTTTTTGTTTGTTATTCGCGCCGCCTCCCTTTTGCAGGACCACCTGGATTTCCTTCTCACACTCGTTCTTCTGAGCTGCTGCTATCTTCCACCTCTTGACCTGCTCCTCATCTTCCTAACCTCCTGCTGCTGACTTCCTGTTGTACCTTCCCTCCGCTAACTTTGCACCTCTTAATCTCCTCTTAACCCCCTGCTCTTCCTCCTATCCTCCTCTTGGCCTCCTCGACAAAAAAAACCCAGCTCCTCCGCTTAACATGGTTGGCTACGTACGGCGCGAAAGAAGTCCACCATACATACGTACACACAGCTCTTGTCGAGCCGCCACCACCACCACCACCGTCCGCCTCCCCCCGTTGCCCCCCCCCCCGAGTTGCACGCAGTTGTTTACTTTCTCGCAGTGAAATCCTCGCCCCAATTAAAATACCTCCCCTCCGACTGGGGCACCTCGCCTCTTAATCCCCGTGGGTAGGTGGGTGGATGGATGAGATCCGAGCTCCTCCAAAAATAAAAAAAAACACTCAACCAAACCCAGGAGCCGGGGAGCAACAACAAAGCTGAGTCCTGTTGACACGTCGGCTGACTCCAACGAGGCGCCCTGGCCGCGAGCATCCAGGAGGAATCCGAGCCGAGAGCGAGGGATTTTTAGTTCCCTCGGAACGAGAAGCCGTATCTCCCCGGTGTCCATTGAGCTGCGTGCCTCTGTTGGCCCTCTCTGGATCTGTCAGATTAGTGTGTCTCTATCCTCGAGGCCTACTCTGCCGGTGTGTTCTCTGTCTGAGCTCTGTGTCCGGCGTGTCGCTCTTCTCTCGCTATCTCGTTTGATGGGTCTCGCTGCCTGTTGGAGCGGTGGTGCAGTGGTTACCGCATTGTTCACTAGGACCAGTCTCTCCGTCTCCCCGTGACTCTCAGTGTCTCTGTGTCTCTGTCCTATCACTACCCCCTGTCTCTCCGTCTCCCCGTGACTCTCAGTGTCTCTGTGTCTCTGTCCTATCACTACCCCATGTCTCCCCGTGACTCTCAGTGTCTCTGTGTCTCTGTCCTATCACTACCCCCTGTCTTTCCGTCTCCCCGTGACTCTCAGTGTCTCTGTGTCTCTGTCCTATCACTACCCCCTGTCTCCCCGTGACTCTCAGTGTCTCTGTGTCTCTGTCCTATCACTACCCCCTGTCTCCCCGTGACTCTCAGTGTCTCTGTGTCTCTGTCCTATCACTATCCCCTGTCTCCCCGTGACTCTCAGTGTCTCTGTGTCTCTGTCCTATCACTACCCCCTGTCTCCCCGTGACTCTCAGTGTCTCTGTGTCTCTGTCCTATCACTACCCCCTTTCTCCCCGTGACTCTCAGTGTCTCTGTGTCTCTGTCCTATCACTACCCCCTTTCTCCCCGTGACTCTCAGTGTCTCTGTGTCTCTGTCCTATCACTATCCCCTGTCTCCCCGTGACTCTCAGTGTCTCCGTGTCTCCCCGTGTTGCTTGCTTCCTCCCCCGTGTCACGCGTTCCGCGTTCCGCATGCCGAAGGCGCCTCCCCAGTCCACTCCGTGACGCTTTAAAAAAAAAGTAATTTACAACAAATAAAGAATGAAATGACGACAAGGCGCTGACACCCCCCCCTACTGCCCCCGCACCGCAGATTCCACAGAGAAACAATGCGGGGGGGGGGGGGGGGTGCCGGGGGAAGGTGACTCGAGAAAAATGTGAAATTTGCGCCGCGACTTCAATGAAGCATTGTTTGAGTGCGTCATGGCGCGAGTGATTCTGTTGTGGTGTCTGATGGTGCTACGATGTGTGTGTGATGTGGTATCTGTGTGTGTGTGATGTGGTATCTGTGTGTGTGTGATGGTGCTACCTGTGTGTGTGATGGGGTATCTGTGTGTGTGTGTGATGGGGCTACCTGTGTGTGTGATGGGGTATCTGTGTGTGTGTGTGATGGGGCTACCTGTGTGTGTGATGGGGTATCTGTGTGTGTGTGTGATGGTGCTACCTGTGTGTGTGATGGGGTATCTGTGTGTGATGGGGTATCTGTGTGTGTGATGGGGCTACCTGTGTGTGTGTGATGGTGCTACCTGTGTGTGTGATGGGGTATCTGTGTGTGATGGGGTATCTCTGTGTGTGATGGGGTATCTGTGTGTGATGGGGTATCTGTGTGTGTGATGGGGTTACCTGTGTGTGATGTGGTATCTGTGTGTGTGATGGGGTATCTGTGTGTGATGGGGTATCTGTGTGTGTGTGATGGGGCTACCTGTGTGTGTGATGGGGTATCTGTGTGTGATGGGGTATCTGTGTGTGTGATGGGGTATCTGTGTGTGTGATGGGGTATCTGTGTGTGTGATGGGGTATCTGTGTGTGTGATGGGCTACGTGTGTGTGTAATGGGGTATCTGTGTGTGATGGGGTATCTGTGTGTGTGATGGGGTATCTGTGTGTGATGGGGTATCTGTGTGTGTGTGATGGGGCTACCTGTGTGTGTGATGGGGTATCTGTGTGTGATGGGGTATCTCTGTGTGTGATGGGGTATCTGTGTGTGATGGGGTATCTGTGTGTGTGATGGGGTTACCTGTGTGTGATGTGGTATCTGTGTGTGTGATGGGGTATCTGTGTGTGATGGGGTATCTGTGTGTGTGTGATGGGGCTACCTGTGTGTGTGATGGGGTATCTGTGTGTGATGGGGTATCTGTGTGTGTGATGGGGTATCTGTGTGTGTGATGGGGTATCTGTGTGTGTGATGGGGTATCTGTGTGTGTGATGGGCTACGTGTGTGTGTAATGGGGTATCTGTGTGTGATGGGGTATCTGTGTGTGTGATGGGGTATCTGTGTGTGATGGGGTATCTGTGTGTGTGATGGTGCTACCTGTGTGTGTGATGGTGCAACCTGTGTGTGTGATGTGGTACCTGTGTGTGTAATGGGGTATCTGTGTGTGATGGGGTATCTGTGTGTGTGATGGTGCTACCTGTGTGTGTGATGGGCTACCTGTGTGTGTGTGATGGGGTATCTGTGTGTGTGATGGGGTATCTGTGTGTGATGGGGTATCTGTGTGTGTGATGGGGTATCTGTGTGTGTGTGATGGTGCTACCTGTATGTGTGTGTGATGGGGCTACCTGTGTGTGTGATGGGGTATCTGTGTGTGTGTGATGGGCTACCTGTGTGTGTGATGGGGCTACCTGTGTGTGTGTGTGATGGGCTACCTGTGTGTGTGATGGGGTATCTGTGTGTGTGATGGGGTATCTGTGTGTGATGGGGTATCTGTGTGTGATGGGGTATCTGTGTGTGTGTGATGGTGCTACCTGTATGTGTGTGTGATGGGGCTACCTGTGTGTGTGATGGGGTATCTGTGTGTGTGATGGGCTACCTGTGTGTGTGATGGGGCTACCTGTGTGTGTGTGTGATGGGCTACCTGTGTGTGTGATGGGGTATCTGTGTGTGATGGGGTATCTGTGTGTGTGATGGGGTATCTGTGTGTGTGATGGGGCTACCTGTGTGTGTCTGATGGGGTATCTGTGTGTGTGTGATGGGCTACCTGTGTATGTGATGGGGTATCTGTGTGTGTGATGGGGTATCTGTGTGTGTGATGGGGTATCTGTGTGTGTGATGGGGTATCTGTGTGTGTGATGGGGTATCTGTGTGTGATGGGGTATCTGTGTGTGATGGGGTATCTGTGTGTGTGATGGGGTATCTGTGTGTGTGATGGGGTATCTGTGTGTGTGATGGGGTATCTGTGTGTGATGGGGTATCTGTGTGTGTGATGGGGTATCTGTGTGTATGATGGAGCTACCTGTATGTGTGATGGGACTACCTGTGTGTGTGTGATGTGGTATCTGTGTGTGTGATGGGGTATCTGTGTGTGTGATGGGGTATCTGTGTGTGATGGGGTATCTGTGTGTGTGATGGGGTATCTGTGTGTGTGATGGGCTACCTGTGTGTGTGATGGGGCTACCTGTGTGTGTGATGGGGTATCTGTGTGTGTGATGGGGCTACCTGTGTGTGTGATGGGGTATCTGTGTGTGTGATGGGGTATCTGTGTGTGTGATGGGCTACCTGTGTGTGTGATGGGGCTACCTGTGTGTGTGATGGGGTATCTGTGTGTGTGATGGGATATCTGTGTGTGTGATGGGGTATCTGTGTGTGTGATGGGATATCTGTGTGTGTGATGGGCTACCTGTGTGTGTGATGGGGCTACCTGTGTGTGTGTGTGATGGGCTATCTGTGTGTGTGATGGGGTATCTGTGTGTGTGATGGGGTATCTGTGTGTGATGGGGTATCTGTGTGTGTGATGGGGTATCTGTGTGTGTGATGGGGTATCTGTGTGTGTGATGTGGTATCTGTGTGTGTGATGGGGTATCTGTGTGTGTGATGGGGTATCTGTGTGTGATGGGGTATCTGTGTGTGTGATGGGGTATCTGTGTGTGTGATGGGGCTACCTGTGTGTGTGATGGGGTATCTGTGTGTGATGGGGTATCTGTGTGTGTGATGGGATATCTGTGTGTGATGGGGTATCTGTGTGTGTGATGGGGTATCTGTGTGTGTGATGGGGCTACCTGTGTGTGTGATGGGGTATCTGTGTGTGCGATGGGGTATCTGTGTGTGTGATGGGGTATCTGTGTGTGTGATGGGCTACCTGTGTGTGTGATGGGGTATCTGTGTGTGTGATGGGCTACCTCATTGTGTGATGGGGCTACCTGTGTGTGTGATGGGGTATCTGTGTGTGTGATGGGGTATCTGTGTGTATGTGATGGGGTATCTGTGTGTATGTGATGGGGTATCTGTGTGTGTGTGTGTGTGATGGAGCTACCTGTGTGTGTGATGGAGCTACCTGTGTGTGTGATGGGGTATCTGTGTGTGTGATGGGGCTACCTGTGTGTGTGTGTGTGATGGGCTACCTGTGTGTGTGATGGGGCTACCTGTGTGTGTGTGTGTGATGGGGCTACCTGTGTGTGTGATGGAGTATCTGTGTGTGTGATGGGGTATCTGTGTGTGTGATGGGGTATCTGTGTGTGTGATGAGGCTACCTGTGTGTGTGATGGGGTATCTGTGTGTGTGATGGGGCTACCTGTGTGTGTCATGGGGCTACCTGTGTGTGTGATGGGGCTACCTGTGTGTGTGTGTGGCGGTAGTGCAGCATTTACCGCGCTGCGCTACGAACCCGGCGCTCCGGGTTCGATTCCCGCTCACGGTCAACACCAGTGACGATTATCTGAACCGGTCCTGGGCCTACCCTAGGTCGACTCAGCCTCAAATGAGTACTTGGTGCTGTGGTGTCGAATCGACACCACACATACATCAACTTCACAGTACTCCATGAGCTCAGGTAATTAACATTACCC